TAATGATAAAACTATTTCCTTTTCTTTAAATATTAATAATCAAGAAAAAAAATGAAATGTTTCATGGCTATGTAGAAGGGTAGTATAAAATTTTGATAAACATTAAACTTGTATTAATTCTTAAAGTACATGTACGTTATGGTAATAAAACAAACTGATATTATCATACTCAATCAAGACAAAATGTCAAATTCATTTTTAGCATGTAAATATCATGCTGAGATTTTGATAAACAAAAGGATTGAGGATGCATTTAATGGTTTAAATAACTGGAAAATGCAACAGTGATAGAAATATTTTCATATTAAAACCTCTATATGTAATATGTAAAAGTATTTGAACTTACCTTGTATTTTTTCACTGAGTGAAAGTAATTAAAATACATGTACAATTACAAGTATAGTTGAAAAAATTGTCAATCACAAATTATTTTCAATCACTTTCAAAAATGTAATAAATTACACTCAGTTACTTTTTCAATTACCCCATCCCTGGTTTTAAGTGTACGTCTTCAAAATTATTTCATTATTTTCAAAGTACGAATGACTGCGGCAAATTATGCCAAATTCAGCATTTGTGAAGTTGAACAAACTTCATACCAGTTTTAAAATATTAGTTTTGTTTCATCCATAATCTTGTAAGTTTATTATTGATACCTAAAATTTGAGTAGATGTGATTATAAATATTGTAAGTCCTATTAGATGGTTTGTGATATAAATATAGCACAAACACTCTCACATCATTACATTCTTACCACATAAAAGATCATATTTGATCAAAATTACTACATGTATAATGATAATGTTTACGTTTTTTTTTTCTGTAATCAACTAAAGCATTAACTGGACAAAGTATAAGTTTTCTTCTGAGTTATCCAGCTTATAATTTTGAGTATGTCATTATCCTCCCTCTGGTTATTCACTCGTATCAACGCAACATCTTGCTTTGACCACTGCCAATTCGATTAAGGTCTTTATTTGTAGTCAACGAACATATTTTGACGTAAATCGAATTGATTTTTACACATAGATAAGGAAAACCCAATGACTCTCACTCCCTGACAACTTTATAAAACTTTTTTCTGGTCTGACTCAGCCGGTCTTGAACTCTTGGCCTATTATTCTGGGGGTGGACGCTCGATCGTCCGATGAAGTTGTTTTTTTTTTAAAATAATTTTTCATACATACAATGACAACTCTACTTGTAAGAATTTAATAGGAAAAAAAGATTATGTAAAGAAATAATATTCATGAAATGACAAATATAATTTTAAAAATGTAATCAGATTTCCTATCTGTTGATTAAATGTATAATCTATGAATGGTTTTATTTATATATAAAAATGAGTTTTATTTTCGACACATGCCAGATATACATATGTACAGATTATCATCTCAAAAAAAATGTAGGGAGCTCATATATTTTAAACTATCGTTGTTTTTAATACATCAGTTATTGTTGAATGCCGAGAGAGACGACTTGTAGTCAACCTGAGATTGCTTACCGTCTTTGTGAAATGTGCAATGTTAAACTTCATTTCAACTTCACCTTTGTGACGGTTAACCTAATGTAGTATCTAGTGGTAAAAGGAACAACAAAAATTGTGAATTTCATGGTGTCTGTCTTCCTGGGGCATGAGGCTAAAACTATCAAAATTAATGCCATTTTTAAAAATCTTACTTCAGACTTCAAGCATTCAGACTGATAACTTGATTATAACAAAGCCCTTTACCAATTGTTAAATTCATGTCCTGAGTCCAGCTTTTAGGTCCTGAGATAGGGTTTAATTAGACATATATTGAAAATACGTTACTTTTCTGTTTGAAAATCTTTACTCATGGACACCTAGCATTAAAACTTTGTGATTATTATTAACAGTTAGTCCTCTAACAAAATTGTACTAATAATTTATCGTTCAAGTCTCAGTGAGATCGAAGGGCTAAGTTGATCATTTATTAAAAGTACATCTTTGAAAATCTTCATTACTCATGGACTTCAAGCAGGCAAATTAACTGCATGTTTATTATGAATAGTTAGTCGACAAAATTTCCTTGGGCCAAGGCTAGAAGATGGGATTAAATTAGTCATTTACAATGTGCTGAGATTTATAATTATATAATGTACTTTATCGTCTTTACTACTGAATATCGGAGACAACCTGAATATCATGATAGTATCCTCATTTAAATGCAATTTTTCACAGGAGTCCAGAGTAAAAGATTCTGTTTCAATTTCAAGAGGGGACAGAATGGTTACAGTGAAAAAGGTGATGTAATCGATCTCCAAAATCTACAAACAATACAAATTTCTGAACAGGGCATAAAACACGGACCGTTGGTAATTCCAGAGGTGAGATTAGATGCCTAGTAAGAGTAAACATCCCATTTCGACCGGTCACACCCGCCATGAGCCCTGTGTATTGATCAGGTAAACGGAACATCTCGTAGTCAATTTGGCATAAAACCCAAAATCTAACAATTGGTATGAAACACGTCTACTAAAACACGACCCAATGGTAGGTTATATTTGCTAACAAGGTCATTATAACGACCATAGAATTTCCGAAATAATGACTTTGTTGAAATCCCTTTAACATCAAATTATCTGTCTGTAGACTGCATCGATATAAAAATTGATCGTAATGAATCAGGAAACAGTTCAAAAATGCCTAATTACAATTTATATAGTAGGTTAGGTAATAATAACTATTGTTAATTGATAATACGTCGTCAATATATCGAAATGTTGAGTTGAAATCCACAGCAAGTATTTTCTTCTTCTCATAAAGAAGTTTTTGAATAAATTCTGCTTCATAGGAATATCAAAACATGTCAGCTAATTAAGAAGCACAATTAGTCCCCACATAATTCAAACAGTTTGTTGTAAGACCTGGTCTCCGAAGACTTCAAAAATATTTTCAATAAGGAACTCCAGCTTCCTTTTAATATCAACTTCAGAGCACTTTTATGTAGAATCAGAGTGATTTTTAACAAATGAACTTTGTTGATGACCAATCACAAGATACGAAAATTTCAGAGTTCCATTTTTATTAAAGAAGCAGTTGTCTGTGATAGCAAAAAGCCTACCTTTTAATTTATCTTGAGGAATGGTTGTATAAAGTGTAGAAAAGTCGGACGTTTTGATGTAATTGACTTTAGAAATACTTGGTGATTTAAATTTTCTCAAACTCCATAGAATCCACATCTGATTTACGCCACATCTAGAATATGCTGTAACACAGAACGTCTGAAGATTCTCCTTTACAGTAGTAATATTTCAGTAAGGAGTAAAGACACGGGCTTGGTACATCACGTGGTGGACCTGGCAATGTATCTTTCTAATTTTTACGAAGTTAAGGAATTCAGTTTAGGTAGGGTAGATCGAACTCATCTTGATTGACTGGAATGTTAGAAGTCTAAACATTGAAACCTGATTTTGAAGAATTACATCCTTAGAAAGTGAACTGTGATGTTGGATTTCCAGACGTAGTTCTTCCAAGTTCTTCAGAAATACAGTTATGATAATGAGCCTTGCAAACAAAGACGATATTGATACAAGCCTTATAACCTCTGATTTGCTGCGGCCCTTAATTCGCTATTTATCTACGAAGTTTTATTAATTAACAATAGTTATTCCGATTTCATATGGAATAAAACAGATGACATTAGAAGGATCACAATGGTTAGTCATGTTAAGGATGAAAGTGTAGGGGTAACGTATGTAAAACGTGTTCGAAGTTACAGAAAATTCAAAGCGTCTAATTTTTTAAGTGTGTGCAAATTTACAATATGTATTGAAGATAGTAATTTTATAGATTTTGATGTAAAATGGAAACAGATACTTGCTTCCTGGAAGTTAAAAAAAGTTTTGAGTCGGGTCAGTTTTAGCCAGTCGATCGGAAGATGGAAACCAAACAACTTTTTAAAGATGACATAAGGAAACTATTTTTCTAAAGACATCAAACAATCATGTAGGTTTTTGGACTTGCTCTGAATAGGACAATATTATAATGTTGCCTTCCCTTTTTAAAAATCAAAAAAAAAAAAACAATTTTTCAAAAAGAAAAAAAACATATGAACCAACAAAAATTTTATTTTTGTTTATTTTAGGAATATTTTTATGTACTATTACTTATACCGTATATTAATGTGACATTTTAATCTTAGGTATTTAATTATGTGATTAAAAATTATCATTGACTTTAAAATAATTTATGTCTGTATAAATTAAATTTATCAAGCTTGAATAATAAGCTAAATAATTTTCAATAATTATAAAAAGATGTACAATTTTGGATCCACCACCATTTCTTCATTTCTATGAACTATTCTTCAATATTCTTGGCTTATATCTGTCCAGCCAATATTTTTATCTTAAGCAAAGATTCTCTCAGCGAGATTGTCCATGAAAGAGCACACTTAAGACAATTCATCGATTTCATATTTGACTTTTTCAAACATTTCAGGTAAGTTTCATAACTATAAATAAAAACAATATACATACATCAATTTAACACACTTAATATCTAATAACAAGAATTAATAAACTTAATGTGGAAAGAAATATTTTAGATTGAAGGATGAATATCACATTGCAAAATCAACATATTACATGTACCCACACAAAGACAGCAACCTATAATAGGTACTAATTTATTAAATCAATTCCGTTGTTTTAGTATGGATATATTAAGCAAGTAATTCAGCTTTATTTCATCTTGATAAACTTTTAACAAATATATACATTTAATTAAAATCTATTTTTTTTTTTTTGTATTTATGAATCTCAGAATCAAGAATAATAACTCTTGCATTCCTCAGATGTAATTTAATGAAATTTTATGAGAAAATTCATAAAAATTGTCTATAATAGTTCTCTTAACTTATAGCGAGGAAAAATAGCAGCAGTTTGATGAGTTATCCATCAAGAATAATAACTTTTGTATTCCTTAGATGTAACTTAATGAAATTTTATGAGAAAATGCATAAAAAGTGTCTATAATAGTTCTCTATAAACTTATAGCGAGGAAAAATAGCAGCAGTTTGATAAGTTATCCATTTTCTTCCTTAATAGCTCTTTAAGCAAATTCTGGGACGTAAAATATTTAACTACAGATATTTTCTTACTCTTCCTTTAACATCTTTTTGAAAAAAAAAATGAAGCAAGATGTCAGACTGATTAAGAATATTTCTTTTTTTATGTGGAAAATTGATTAAGTAATTAAGTATTGAAAAATTGAAAGGTTGTTTTTATATCTTCCAATTTCCAAAAGGCGTCTTTTTCATCAATGGATAATAAATATCAAGGGTGTTCTCCAATTGTTTTTAAATCTAAGAAAATTTGCACCAGGTGTATAGTCACTTTATATTTAGAAACGGTGTCAATTCTGTCATAAATAGACAATTTTTATGCATACATGTATATGACAAATTTATCAACTATTGGATTGCAATACATGCATGAAAAATAGTGTTGATTTATTAAGTATTGTTCCTAGGTTTTTAATATCATCTGTTACAATATAAAATTATGTTTATTATACGATATTGATCTTTACATATACATTTAACTCGTTAAAAAGAACTTTGAATAGATGCTTCGGAAGTGGCTTATTGCTGTAAAGGAAAATTTTATTGTAAAGATATTGATGGGAAAAAATTTAACATTTGGTAAAACTATGGACAATAACAACTAACTATCTAGCATGTTTCCCCCATCCTAGTTCATACAGCCATGAATTGAACAAATCTGAATCTATACTATATGACATTGGGGACATTTTCATATTAATTTAACTGACTGTAGCTGTGTCGTTCCAAAAGATTTTTTTTTCAAAATAGCACAAATCAATTGAACCTTTGCTTTACATGAGCTACTACACAGAGAACATCCATAGCTTACAATCGATGGGGACAGTCCTCTTCACAAGGAAACTCAAAATAATCCTATTTTCTTCAGTGATCATGCTTTTTTCTGTAAAATCAAAAATAAAATTAACTTCATACATATCCAAAATAAACATTTTTTACTGCAAAAATTAAAAAAATTGTCGTTTTTTTCAGACGAGTCCCCTGGAAGTCTGTAAATGAAGAAACTGATTTTGCATGCTCAAAATCTGAAAGGTCAGATTGGAAAAACAAGACAGGTTCTTTGCTCATTGTTGGGTTGCCCTTTTTATGATTATGATCATGAAAATTAACTTTTGAGTACCGGTATATTCCTCGTTTACGCAGACTTTGATGTCGAAAATAAATGTTCTGAGGAATAATGTAACATTTTTTCCCTAACCGTATAAGCTATATCGATATATTCAGCGGCTAAATGATTAAGTGTTTGTATTGTTTGAAGATGGTCCTGAGGCTGACTACAGGCTTGGTAAGACCCAGGTCTTCGTAATTGGTTATATGGTAATTGTTTGAAAGACAAACGTCTATTCAATGTGAAAGTCATGAGATTCTCGAATAAAACCTTAAAAACGAGATTCAGTGTAGCAGTAGGGGCTAACATGACAAAGGACCCTTCTGCATTTGAGTAGCTATTTTCCACGGATCAAAATTATGTTTCATTAATTATCACTGAAAAATTATTATTATGAAACAACTTTGTCTCTAACTAGAAAAATGATATAAATTACTGTTTTGACAATATATACAAAAAGTACCAACATTTTGGCGACTCCTTTTTGTAAACATTAGGTTATTACAAATCTTTTATCAATCAGCTCTCCGACATAATATGATAAAAAGATTACTCTACTCAGAAGAAAAACTACAGTTTACATAATACTCTTATAAAAGATAATGGTTTCTTAAAATAACTTCAAATACTGATAAATTACTTCTATTTCTTTACAGGATCATCATTCTCATAGGTAATTTTATCTCGAAGTTTTTTCGAATGGAATATGCCAATCGCATCTATTTTGACAAATTACAATCCCTCCTTTTTTGCAAATATATTTACGGGAAAATTTTTCAATGTTCCAATAAAAAAAACACTCAATCAGATTTAATAAATCATCAATATCAAGAAAATAATATAAAATATTACAGTTTCTCTTCGCTAGTAAAAAAAGAATGAAATAAATGAAATAGTAGGTGGCTATGGTATTGTAATATTTTGGATGCCTTTTTGAAGTTTCTTCTTTTTTTAAAAAAAAGAAAAGAAAAGAGAATTAATGAGACATAGCAGCTGGCTGAAAACGTATTCATTTTTATTGCGTATTTGATTGAAGTGCTTGCAAAGCATGACTGAACAAAGAACATTCCTTTGTACACTATATATATATATATATATATATATATATATATATATATATATATATATATATATATATATATATATATATATATGTATGTATGTATGTATGTATTCTTACTATTAAATGTACTCCAAACATGGAATGATCATCGTGACATGTACAGTTCTCTGCTGACTTGAGAGAGCCACTGTCCAGTATCCCAACACACTTTTCTGGTTCCCTTAGCGACTCCAAGGTCACAAAACTTTCCGGGTGTATAATGACTTGGAGCTTGGTTTCAGGTTTATCATGTTCAGATCCCTGTGGCTAAAAAAATGAGAAGTTGACCTTGTTGCTCAACCCGAGCTCATTGCAGGATCTTTATAGTGTAGCAAAAAACAACATGAATTTCGCATTTGTAGAAGGCTTATTGCTAAGGTTTATTCAATTACATGTATACAATATGTCTTCTGTATGTTCAGAAGTAAGGATGACTTTTTGAACGATTAGGCTCAACCTGTCATATGATACCAAAACATTTACAACAATTATTACTTTTTAAAATTTAACGTATTTTAAAATATCTTTTAAAAAAACGACTCTGAGAGTATAATTTCAAGGAAGTGGAAACTTTCTACATATTTCGATATTTGTTTTTCACGAACAATCAGAAATATATATTTTTTATCCATAACAATCGGACCAAGCAACTTTAAGGGGAAACTCAAATGTTCAGGTTAATTATGCCTTAAGAGGATTGTCTTCGACTGTAAATTGTTTAGTGGTAAATAAAAAAAAGATATACTAGGTAATGCGTTTTCAAACCAAGCCCCGCCCTAGGGCACAAGCCTCGAGAGATATCTCTTCAATACATTATCAGCCTCACTCTGGAGTCTGAACCCGTGGCCCAAGGGGCATAAATTTATCATCAAATTAAATTTTGCAAAAAATATAATTAATAATAAAAACAAACAATAAAGAAATAAAACACGCACACACAATTTGTCCGCTACATGTTCAGGTGTAGAAGCTAAATATTTCTTTACATTTTTTAAGCATTTGTCTCAGAGAGGCAGGACATTTGGAATGAAAATTATTTTTCTGTTTATTCTAATATTTTTTACCCATTGAATTAATTGTTTAGAAAAGATGCTGAATATATTTAAGAATATGACGGATAACTACTTGAGCACAGATGCACGTGTTGGAAGGTAAACGATAACAGGAGTCAGATGACAACATAAAGCCATACATCGTTAACTATTATAAAATTTATATACATGTAATATAATATTGTGTATACTCACCACGTGTATTATAGTAGTTTCGCCATTAACTATAGCCAGGAAATTAAAGTTATTGTGAAGGCGAACCTGGTTGTGACCTTCATTAATAACTGTCCACAGAGCTGAAATAAAATGTACTATGTAGAATTGAAATGCTTTTCATCATATTCTTTGCAAAAAAAAATTCTTTTTTTCTGAACATGATGTAAACACATTTAAAGCGACACCGTGACGCACAATCGGGAAAATTGATACACATACGTAGAATTTTTGCATGACCCGTGCAAATTTTGTTCAATTCCTGAAAGTATTAGGTTTCAGAAAATTACAGGTTTCAGAACCTGAAAATCTACTTTTATGGAGAAAAAAAAATTATTTTTGTATTGCCCAACACGAAAATATTGCTTTACTTCTTCCTCCTTATAGTACGCCTGCGCAGAAAAGTTGAAGAAGTTACCATGGTCTCAAGTACCGAAAAATGAATGTCGGTAGACCAAGATTTTTGATACAATCTTCAAAAAAGATTATTAGAACATATTTCTCACCTTTGCATGCTCTAATTGAATGTTGTTTACAAGTTAACGCTAAAATTAAAAGTGGCGTGACCTTGACATGCACAATGTCAACGAAACGGTTGATACAACCTTTGTTTTTCCGGTACTTATATTGTGCAGTCGCTTCTTGCTTTGCAGTGCAGTTTAGTTGTTATATCTTAGCTATACTCATAATTTTCATAAAATTTTGGCTTTATGATACAGATATCTTAAAAGAAACACATGATTTTGACTCATTATGTAACTTTAAAGTCATATATGGCGTATTTTTTTTTTTTATAAGTTCAGACTAACTAAAATTAAAATGATCTTTCTATTTGTTTTATTACTTTATATAAAGATAGGACTTTCCTGTAAATTACACAATTTAAATCAATCACGTTTCAAAGATATTTGAAATTTAAAACAATAACCGATTTAATTACCGACTCCGCATTTAAGTAACAGACACTGAAAGTCAATTTAACTATGGAAACATGAGCTTATTCAAGTTCAAAATCGGTGAAAATTTTAATTTGAACGTAAATAACATATATAATGTTTATCTACACTCAATTTCGTATTTTTATTTTTTAGCTCAGATACGCCATATATAGCTTTAATATTTAAATAACAAAGGGGGTATTAGAACAGAATATTTAGAAAATACGGGTTCATATTATTATGATATTAAAAAAACATCAACAAACTACCATTCCATTCGTGTTCGCCCAAGTCGCCCCTGCTGTCTACTTTAAGTTGACCAGACCGAGCCTGGACTATCCTCAGGGCTCGCCCACTGGATTTTGAGACCAACTGGACCTGGTTGCCTGTGTCGAAATTGCTCTGGAATGGCATGTATACGAACGTCTTATCACATTAAAAATCAGAATTAATCTTGTTCAAAACTTACATGTAGTCATACTAGTAGCTTATCACTGCAAGAGAGGGGAAAAAACAACTGATTACTCAAATTTGAAAAAACTGATTTTTTTTTCATTTGCCTTCTAAGAAGATGATAATTTTATGCATATGTGTAACACAGCGAAAATTAGAATAAAATATCATCAAATTTGAATGTTTCCAAAGAGGGCCATCTGCTGATACTGGGAATGAATAGTCGGATCTATTTTCATGGCAAATGAATTTATACTGTGAATGTAAGTATGTTAGCATGTACATGTACGATCTTGGGCGGAAAACTAGCGCACATTTCTGAATCAGAATGTGATTGTTGATATGTGCTTGTAGCAATGTACTTGATTTAGCGGAGGCCGCTTTTCGCGCTTTTCGATTATTTCATAATTTAGCTACCGTGACCTTTGAGATATGGTAGTGATGTAAGATGAAATAATTTGACAGACAAAATTTCAAAAAGATCGCCTGTATAAATAGTTACAGGAATACTATCTTACCATAAGTGTACCCTTTTTAACCGTAGTTTTTTCTTCGACTTCTAATGCTTCTTCAACAGCATGTCCAAGTTTGTGTTGGTTTATAGACAGCATTTTTAATGCGTCAACCTGAATCACATATTTAGTTAAGATGAATAGCAGTAATTGGCCCATCTCTCTTTCGCCAAAAAAAAATAACACCGGTAATTGAAAACTTTTTAGTGTCTATATTTATAAGTATGACAATAATTAACACAAGATAATTCCCAAAACACACATTGTCACATTTTCGTAAAATGTTATTAAATATACATGTACAGATAATCCTTGGCAATATACTCGCCTCTTCTGGAGGATAGTTCGGCTGACTGATGGATGATAGCGCCATCGTCACTGCAGAATTGAGCATAATAATTGAAAAAAAGAAATGTTAAATCTGTCAACCAACCATGCACAAATCGCATCTGATTAATTTTCAACATATTTTAAAGGTCTTTTACTAATAATCAGGTGAATTAACAGAATTTTCCAAATATAGGTGTGACTATCACTCCTTAATTATTGTATTAATAAATAAAACCTGAGATTTTTGCTAAATTAAAGGTCTTAGACCAGCTTAAATCCCTTTTATCCATTGCATGTTTACTCTAGTAAGATACGATGTTAAACATATCCGTTATCAGCCTTTCACGCACCAGATATTGGTGCCATCTGGAATAACGGGTACCAGATCTTAAAGTTCACTACCTTAATCAAACAGTATCTCAAACTAGCATTGATCTATTGATTGTTATGATTTTACAGAGAGTTTAGTTAGTATTAATTGATTAAAATTGTTTTGTAGCCATGAAGCGATATGAAATTTATTTTGTACCAACATTTTATCTCCTACCCCATTGTTAAAGTGAAAATATAATGCATTGTTAAGATCCACTCACAAAACAACCTTATACGGTTCTTTTGAACTTTCTGTGGGAGGAAATCCCCTTAATTCTAACTAATATACCTTCACTACCAGAATCTCAACTAAATACAATTATTAATGTCTTCAGATTTTTCTCCAAGAAGTTCACAAATTTCCATAAATGGTCACAATCGCTCGTTTAAAATTAACACTGAGACAAAAGGTAAAAGTTTCACGTGTTTTCATTTAATAAAGAAACAAACACAATTAAAATCATTTATATACTTTTGATAAGTATTTTTGACTATTTTGAACAGCTTCATTTCTCAGTATTATAAATAGAGTTTATAAAAGAGATTTTCTCCATCTCCTTACCTTACTTGGAGCTTGTTATCTCAGGATTATGAAGGAATCTTGAAGTTTTAAATACCACAACTACTGTTTATCAATTGCAAGATACAAGTATGGCTTATTGACTTTTACGAGGGTAAATTCTTCATATCAAGAATTCTCGCCATATTTGTTTCACTTTTAAAAGACAAACAACGGATATACAATTTATAAGGTCCCTTTAGGAACTAAAATTTTGTTGAATTGATTTTTTTTAAAAATAGATACGATATAACGTGCTTAATACCCCCACCCCACCTCCTCCTGACACACACATATACAAGAGGCCCTTTTCCCTGTTTCATTCGAATTTACTTCAACAATCATGATAGCGCATATATAGATCTGGATACATTGAATAATAATTCTATGCACTGCGTGTGACATGATGTGAATTTGTATTCTGATCTCCTGTCTTAATGATTCGGTGCATTAAAAATCATTTAATGCTAAATTCTCTTAAATAATGTATAAACAAGAAAAAAAATCTTATATCAATGATAACCTCTCAACTAAATTCTATTTAAAAAAAAAAACAAAAAAAAAAAATATGGAAATAAGTTTTCTTCACATTATAGGCCTATAGTATTATTTCTATAAAAAAAAAGAAGCTGTCCTAATAGAATGCACAAGTGTAAACAAGTTACAATTTATATAGATCCAGGCTTACACGGACACGTGCACTTAAATCAGAAATAAGCTAATACTTATACTGTAATATTTTATTTTGATTATTCTTGTATAATATGTATACCATTTGTCAAAACTAAATTATTGTGCCATATAAGTGAATGTAAGTAGGCCTATTTTGTTCCAAACCCGGGATCTCCCGTCTTACATGAATATTTTCTTTCGGTCTTTTCAACATGACGAGAAGGCCATATATAACGATGGTGCATTAGTATTAAGGACTTAGTAATCGCTATCTATTTGAAAAAAATTCCAATTTACCTGTCAATATCATTCCATTATCCAATATGATATAAAAGCACTTACTTTGTCCGATCTTCTCTTCACCACTTACATCTCATGGCAACTTGACACAATGTTGTTATCTGTAATACTGATATGACGTCATTTTCCATTAGATGACATAAAAGTGCAGCAAAGGTCAATATTATGTTGCCTTTTGAGGAACTTAAACGGATACAGGGCTAGGCTAGGCTTGAAGTGATAACTTTTTCAGTTGTGTTTCAATTTCGTAGGTTACTGGTATCCAAATTAATTAACTTTGCGGAAAATATTTCAAACTGCGTCAATGAATAGGTCAACTGAAAAAGATTTTTAAAGATGTGTGGTGTGCAGTACTCAGACTGTCGGAAGTGAGAACCACTTATCCACTTTTATTAGACTATTCCAACATATAGAACAGGGTTTGACATGGCTTTGAACATTCTTGAATTGACATACTGGTCAGCACTCTATACAGCTTTTGTGTCTTTTTTTAATTGTATTTTGTAGTATATACTGTATTCATAGCACCACATAGTCGTCGGAACCGGGAGGCTAGCCCCCCACCCCCACCCCACCCCGCGCGAAATAGGGATTTTCGGGTTTGGATAATTTTCAGTATTCCTTTCGGGGGGGAGGGGGGGTTGCAAGTTTTTTTTTCAGGTTTGATTTTTTTTCTCTTAGAATTAGCCCCTCCCCCCCCCCCCTTTCAACCCATTTTCAACTTGCTTCCGACGCTTATGCACTACCTTTATTATATACTAAGGCTTGCGTTACCAAAGGGAATGCACGCAGGTCTAGGACAAATTGCTCAGTCGACTCTTTCAACCTGTCACGCTAGGGAGGAGGGGGAGAGGTCAATGTTCTTTGTTTTATTTGTATTTCCAACAGTTTCAATTCCACATTATTAATACTTGCCTTTAATATATATACACGGGCACTTTGTACTTTGGATATTATCAGAAATAGTATGCTATTTTCCCATTGCTGGATCATGCGAGAAACCACCAAAAACAATCTGGAAACTGTCAAAATGCTGTGGTACTCAAAGGCAGATGTACAATCTCGGATTGCTAAAGCCACTGGAATATATGATGGGCTGCGAAAATCTGGAGGTCAGCGGTAAAGATTAGCATCAACTACAACATTAGGATTGTTTTAAAAGTGTAATATGGTCGGTGTCCTCATGTATTGTGCTAAAACTTGGAAGGTAACAAAAGGTCATTACAAAAAGGTTAGATGCCTCCACAGATTTCAATATGACGCATCGTCTAACCAAATACCATCACGAAGAGGCGCAGCAGAGGACCATCACCAGTCCTAATAAGAGGGGGAAATAGGCTGTGAATGCCACTGGGTGGGTCACATATGGAGAATGAATTCGACATCTATCCCAAGGGTTGCAGTAAGATGAACATAAGCACCAGGTTGAAAGAGAAAGAGGGTTAGACCTAAAGAGACAAATATGGGATCAGTAGAAAAGGAAATGAAAGATAACAACTGGATGTGGGGGCAGGTCCAGACGTGGACAATTTATTGTAAAACAAACCAGCATGAAAGTATCTGGTGATGGCCTTATGACAAGCACAAACAAGACTAAGTAAGTAAGATCTGTATCCCTGAATTTCTATTTTCCATGAGTTATGGGGTTTATTTTTCCCAGTTGATTTGATACACAATTGCATGTTCTACCCACCATTGTTTTCAGAGGTCAGTGTTTGCTCTGGTCACAGTTTGTACTGTTCAGTTGGACTTTTAAGTATGATTACTATTCCTTATATTTATGCACCATAGAAAATCTTTGTGCTAGCTGTATGTTCCAAAATTTTCTATTGTCAACATTGAAATTTTTACACACTTGAAAGATATGCACCTCTTTTATGAATGAAATAAGAAAGACAACGCTTTTTTATTGCTTAACATTGGGTAATTATATACAGGGCTCTAATTGGCGACTAATTTAGTCGCCATGGCGCCTAAAATTTTTGATCGGCGCCTAAAATTTTCCATAAGTCTCCAGACTGGCGACCATTTAAAATTAATTGGCGATCGTCGAATTCCGGAAATTTTCACATTTTTGACAATTTTTCTGAAAAAGCGAAAAGAAATTTAAAAGAAAAGGAAATTATTTTTAGCAATGGACAAGTCATGTTTTCTTAGGCACGTCATGGGTTGCTATATTCCCAAAATTAATTTTTTAAATTTGGCGCCTTAGAAAAAATGCCTGGCGACTAAAAATTAGCATTGACGACTAATTTTTTTTTTGATAAGGCGCCAGCTGGCGCCTAAATTTTAGAGGCCACTTAGAGGCCTGGACCGTAATACGTAACTTCGTCAATATTAAAACTTTGCACAGAATTGATGTGCAGATCTTATTTTGGATGAAATAAGATTAAATGATTGATTGATTGATTGTATGTTGTTTTATTTCCCATTGGAGAATTTTCACTCATATAGAGACGTCACCATAATCGGTGAAGGGCTTCAAATTTAGACCTATGCTCGGCACTCAGGGCCATTGCGCAGTGAGGGTTCTCTATTTAGCCAAGGCCTACCGTGACACGGGATCTCGGTTATTAAGGTCTCATCCGAAAGACCCGTGACTTTCGCTTCTAGTGCCGGGAGCTTGGCGAAGGAACGGTCAGTACGTATAAGGTTTAACGCGGCTTGTCGAAGGAACCCGGGCCTCCCGATCACGAAGCGAATGCCGAACCACTAGGCTACTGTGACCTGTTGGATGAAATAAGAAAGGGCTAAAAGATGTCATTCGGTCAAAAATAATCATATTTAATGATTGAGAATTTTAATATTTGTCCTACCTGAATATTACATTTTCATGCAGAATGTTCTCTCTTTTTTAAAGGATGTGTTATCTATTTTCATTTTGATGTATTAAACGTTTTTCATTGATTCTGATTTAATCTAAACTGTTATTACATCAAAAAGAAGAAAAAACTTGTACTGCCGATTATTCTGGTCCCAGGGTATTTATATTGGCCAATTTCAAGAGTTGGTATGATCCGTCAAATTAAGAGATTGAAATATTATTTTGATGCGAAAGAGCCCTGCTGATAATCTCATCATTTGTAGGATTCTGCTAAGTACACTAAAGTCAGTTAATTTTATTTTAATGCAAGGCAATCAGACAATCAGTGTGCAAAAGTTTAAAGGTTCTAAAAATCATTTATTGCATTCATTTCTTAACATTATCACTAATGCATATATATGAAATGTTTTCTGCTACCTATGAAAAGAGTGCAAGCGACGCAGGTCCAAATATATTTGTTTTGTCTTGTGAAAGATTATATATATATATATATATATATATATATATATATATATATATATATATATATATATATATATATATATATATATATATATAATCAGTTCATTTACTACAGCTTACAGCACACAAGGAAGTAAATAAATGAGTGAATAAAGAAATTCAGGACAAAACAGGAAGATAATTCAGATAAGATAATCATGAGGGTGCTTTTCTTATGTGCTCTCGTCTGGAATTTCTTTTTCCATCTGCATTTATGTATCAGTGAAGGCAAGATACTTTTAATTCATTGAAGTTCATTCTTTGACATAATTTTGGCAATGTATATGGTTTGTTTTTACTTTTCTTTTACAGTTGCATTACAGTACCCTGCCTATGTTAAACAAGGTTCTCCAGGATGTCTAAATATTTCAATTTCTGGAAGCATACCAGAAGATTTTGTAATATTTTTACGTTTCAACAAATCAAGTATATGTAATTTGGCTGGAATTCCTGGTTCTGATCCATTTATAGACATAAACAAAAACTACAGGGGTAGGATAACATGTAATGTGGATACATCAATGAACCGTGTATATATATGTTTTACAACTTCTGTAAACACAACTGATGCTGGAGTATATTTCGCAGAATTAACGATAAGCTCTGTCAAAACGAATAATACGCTGTTCGTCATGAGTAAGTTTCTTCATATATATCCTTCTTAATTTTCGACGAATAAGATTTTAGAAAGATTAAATGTCAAACTATTTTTTATGTAAAATAAAATTACAGATACAGTATATAGACTTAAGGACATCAAATTACTTTAAGAAGGCTATGTATCATTTGAAATAGCTCCACCAAGTAAACCAACCATTAATGTGAACGGTATAATTATCTCCAACACGGTGCATAACTTGACCTGTTCAGCCTTGTCCACGTCAATGCCAATGACAGGACTACCTATAACCTATGTCTGGACCGTCAATGACGCTAACATCACAGACTCTCGCTTCAAAATCACTGGACAGGGAGGTGATGTGTTGACGATAAACCAAGTTAAAAAGCAAGATAAAGGAACAATTGTTCAGTGTATAGCCAAAGAAGAAAAAGGATTGTTGTCCGAACCGAGTAACGAGGAAACGTTAGATGTTTTGTGTAAGAATAAATTTCTATATAAATAATCCTATTTGAAATCTCTTGAATTGTCAATATCACAATTTTTTGTGTATCTTTTTTAAAAGACATTTTGAAAACAATTTAAAACTCACAAGATAATAATAATTATGAATAATTTTCAATATATTATGAAGAAATATAAAACAGATATTCGAGGTAGATGTCGTCTGACCTGAATTCCCCAAATTTATTTGATTGGTCGTGGGTTTTTTTTTAAAGATATACCGGAAATCTACGTCACGCCTTCCACAAACATTGCTGCTAAACTGGGTGACAGTAATCTTCAATTTAAGTGTATTGTTGATGATGCCAACCCTAGCACTGGGCTGAACTACAGATGGACTAAAGGAGGCTATCAAATCAGCACAAATCAGACCTATATCATTTCAACTGTGCGTAAATCTGACCAAGGGACATTCCAGTGTACTGCTGGAAACAGTGTCGGAACATCTATTCCCTCAACCATTAACGTGGAAGTAGTATGTATGTGCATGTATAAATATTAATATAGTAATTATACAACACTTAGAAAAGTATATTTACCAATTTTCCTAAACGTATCAGACTTAAAAATATGAATGCTGATACGTCATTTGTTCATTTCTTGAATGTACTTGTACATTTGATTTAAAAGTTCGTGAGTTTTTCTGATCCCATGTCCATCTTTTCGTCTTGCTAAATGTCTTCTTGTCTGTAATTTGTCATTTGTATATATATATATATATATATATATATATATATATATATATATATATATATATATATATATATATATATATATATATATATATATTAGGGATGTCAATTTTGTCAATAATTCATATTCGAATATTCAATGAAAGTATTCGAATATATTCGAATATTCGATAAAATAAATAGAATGTGGTTTATTTTAATGCCCTGTTCACACGGAGAGTTTAATTCGCAGTAAATTAATGCGAAGTAAACTAATGCGAATTAAACTAAAGCGAATTAAATTGCGTTCACACGACAGCTAATGCGAAGTAAACTAATGCGAATTAAATTTTTATTTCTACAGTAAGGCTATTCAGTAAGGCTATTATGACGTCATTTTGCGAATCACGTCACATTGTGCCGAGCAGATACATTTGACCACTGATTTGACATAATGTCATGGTGTCTGTACACATTTAAGTGATTATCATAATTTTCCTTTGTTTTCCACTCAAAAGTAGCACAAGTACCTATATCTGACCATCGACATGTGGCCTGTGACTTAATTCTGCCCTTACGCATGCGTCAAAATTTAATTCGAATTAGCTTCGCTTAGCGTTCACACGGAGCTAATGCGAAGTAATTTAATGCGAGGTAAATTAATTCGAATTAAACTAATTCGCATTAAATTCTCCGTGTGAACTCGGTTCAAATTTAATTCGCAGTAACTTACGTTTAATTCGAATTAAACTCTCCGTGTGAACAGGGCATAAATGTACATCATCATACTCTCATGGCAGGTTTTGGAAGTAAAATTGGATGTGGACTTTTGTAGGGATACAGGAATTCTACATTTGATATTTGTCAATGTTTAAAATAAGTAATTGATTTAAGTGTATATAACCGAAATATATTCTATACAAGCTCAAACTGACGAACCAGTCGTCTCACCAGGGGCAAGATTGTCGTTTACTTAATTTTCAAACTTAAATACACATAATTAATTACAATTATCTGCTTAATAAGAGATATAATATGATCTTTGATACAATGTTTTGAAAATATAAACAAACACTTCCATAGACATTTCTCTATGTCATTAATTTCCTGATAATGATTTTAAAATTTAGGAATGTATTCAACCAGAGGTAATCAAGTAATTGATACATTATTCTGAAATCCGATCATATTAATCTACTGAATATACTTTTTGTGTTATACATTAATAATTCTTTTTTTTCTTTCTTTTATACTAGGGATGTCAACGAATAGTCGACTATTCGACTATCAGTCGAATGGACCGACGATCGAATAACGAAACGACATTCGAATAAATAAATTCAATAAAAGAGTAATAAAGAGATGGAATTCTCATCTTAGAATTGGGAAACCGTCATTCCTCAGACACAGTCGATAAGATACATGTAATTTCCCTCATTAAAAACTGCTGACTTTACATGTAGAAAGTACAGTGATTAGAAATGCTTCACTTCCACGAGAATTATTTGTCATAATTACTGTTGTTTTTGTAATGAAATTATCTCGCTATACTGCGCTTTCTTTGTAAAATTATTAATTGGACTTGATCTCATACCATGTAACCATTATAGCCGTGACATGTTTGGACCCCCCCCCCCCCCCACACCCAATCAATCTAATAAGCTTTAAGAAAAATACATGTTTATCGTACTGTCATTTTAAAACAGACTTTACAGACCGATTTTTGAACATGATTGACTGGGAAATCATACATTTTGGAGGAATTAGCGGTCTATATTTAGTAAATATAAACACACTATCCAAATATTAGGTCCATGTGAACATCTGTGTGTAACGTATGATGTAACTTTTTAATAAATTTTAAAAAAAGGAATTTGGGGTTAAATATGCCATGTATCAGTGACGTTTGAAATTAAATTTTGGTTGCCGAAAAAGTTTCGAATATATTCGACTATCGTTCGAATAATGCAATCGAATATTCGACTAAAGAAAATAAATATTTTGACATCCCTATTTTATACCGTACTCAAAATGAAATAATTTAGAAGATCTATAAGATATAAGAAAGTAGTGAAAGAAATCAGGGGATCGCTAGAAAATAAGACGGGGATAATTCCATTACTTATTAAAATTTATTATCTCTTTTTCTTTTTGAAATCTGAAAAACACCGAATATTCGAATCTTAAATTCATATTCGAATATTAACTCATCGAATGAATATTCGAATGTTCGAATATTCGTTGACATCCCTATATATATATATATATATATATATATATATATATATATATATATATATATATATATATATATATATATATATATATATATATATATATATATATATTACATTTAAACTAATTATTTAATACAAGTACTTGAAATTGAATTTGAATTATCTGCATTCATCATGTTTAGTTTTGAAGGGATGGGATGCATGTTTATGAAAATAGTTGCAAAGTTTTGCATTTTTATTTTTGAAAAACCTTTGACATATTAAAAATTACTTTTATCTGAGTTGAAGTAGACATATTAAAAATTGATTTTATCTGATTTGAAGTGGTGTACCTAAATATATCATTTTAAAAAAGCTAGAAATAAGTTTAATTAGAATTTTAACCGCATGACAATGTACATAAAATTTCCTCATTGTAAGTATCCACGTGTTTTTGTTTCAGATATTCCTGAAATAGAGAATTTTACTATAGTTGGTGGACGCGTCGTAAATGAATTATCTCGGTTCATTATGGTTTGTATTGTAAACAGTCCTAGACCTGCAAACATTACCTTACAGAACGGAAACACCAGCGAAGTTGTCAGCAGAGGTTATGGTGTATTCTCACTAAATTTTACAGAAAACTCAGCTCAGTGTTTCCAGACAGCAGTTTATATATGTTTGGCTCAGAATGTTATTGGGATTTCTGAATCTACTTCATTGGAATTATACGTAAGATGTATGTTATTAAAAGTTCAGTAACATTCAAATTACATGTACTTTCATAGTTTAGTGCAATATTTTTAAGATTGCATAATTATACTATACAACAACAATGATAATAATAGAACGAAATAAAAGATGTATACAAAAATTACAGCTCCGAAGAACTATGTTTTTCTTAAAAATTTGAATCGCCTCCCGACGCCCCGTAATAAACTAAAGTAATTGAAATCAGGGTGTTTTTTTTCTTTTTCATTGTTTTCGTTTTATTATATCTTTTTTCTTTTATCTAAACAACAATTTTAAAGGTAAACCAAGATCTGTGAATGGACTATTCTTCCAACAAATGTCAACAAATAAGCTGCAAATTTCGGCAACGTATATAGCATACCCTATTCCTTCCATCCAATGGACCTTTCGGAAATCCAGTACTTCAGCAGAAAAATATATATCCAGTAATTTCTGGAACACAGCAATTATAACCGCAACAAACATATCAACATTTTCTGTAAATTATAACAAGGATTCCCTTCAAACAGACGAGTTTGGATATTACACAGCAAATGTTAGAAATGACCAAGGATCCTTCCTAGCGACATTTCTCATAATGCCAGAAGGTAGATGTTCCAACACCAGGAGGTGTACTTTCTAAAGCTCTTGTCATGCCATCAATAGATGAAGATTTCTAAGTAATTGTGAATTTCTTATACAAATGAGACATCTAATAAAAGATGAAGATTTGCATGTACAAAGTAATTGAATCGATGAGATCAAGATGAACCAAATTTATAGCTAGGGTACTTCTGGCCCCAGGGCCATAAAACTTAGACCAGCTCACTTTTGATCTCAGTCTCACTTTTACCAAAGGAATTAATAGTGGAAAAGAGAGACCGAGATCAAAAGTGAGCTCGTCTAAGTTTTATGGCCCCGGGGCCTGTACTTCAATTAATGGTGTGTGTATTATTCAGTAGAAGCATAAATTTTTGGCACTAAATTAAAAAAATTACTGTATTATTTTCCTCATTTATATATGGAGTTGTACTAAACTCTAAGAATTGTAAATTAAGAAAAGAAATCATATCTATATTCTAGGCATACCGGATACACCACGGAATATGTCGGTTATTTGTTCAATAGCGGGAACAGCTTTTGTTAGTTGGATTCCGGGTTCTGACGGCGGAGTAGGACAAATTTTTATTTTATCATACAAAAAAGCCACTGCACCTCAAGCTCAACTAAATACCTCTATCATCTCAGGAATCAGTGTCATCATTCCTAATTTGGAAAATGAACTATATACATTTACTCTTATTGCTTTGAATAAAAACGGAGAATCAGCTCCTGTGCAAGACGCTTGTCAAATACAAAAATTGGATAAAGGTGAAATATTTTTTTTTTTACTTCTATGCTTTCAATGAAATATGTATGGAAATATTACCTTTGATTTTCTATACTTTCATTATATCCTAGAAACCAATGGACTGCATCCGTATATATGCTCTCTAAATTTGTATGAAACTGTTGTTTTGATATCTTAAAAATGTCTCTAAGATTTCAATTTATTTTTTCTCCATTGCCATGTTTAGAACAATTTTTTTTTTATCTTTGAAGACTATAACTAATATTTCAGGAATGAATTTAATAGCTACCCAAATTATGCTGTATAATCTTGGTTGGAGTAGTTTACGATTTATAAACCTCGAAACGGTTTATAAAAAAGCGTTAAATGTTCCAACCCAGGTTATACCAGTATAACTTGGGTAGCTATTAAATTTTTTTAAATTATTTCCATCAATAAGTGTAGAAAATAAGACAATTTCTCTTTCAAAAAGGCCTTCAAATTATACGTATTTTAAATGTTTTGTCAAGCGAATTGATACGTTTTTGACGTAAGTCATTGTGACGTACATGTAGGCAACGGTGTGTTCCCGTTTTGCACACATTTGATAATTAGGTATAGAACAATAGGTGTGAAATATGTTTTGATACCAATTATAGTCTGATCTCCACCTGGGATTTACCTGGAATTATCTGTATTTTACCTGTGTATTAAAATATATATTTAAAAGAATAAATATTGAAAATTTAACTTGTCCAACCCAACTGAAGATGAAGTTGATAATTTAGACAAATATCACCCTGTTAAATAAAAATAATTCAAAATATTATATATAAACCTCTACTTTGACAACTTTTCTCTTACAGAATGTGGATCCCTAACATCAGTATTCGGGTCGTTGTTTGGGATTTTCCTTTTGATATGCATAGGCCTTCTCACATTTATCATCGTAACAAAGTGTCTTCAAAGTAGAGGTAAAAAATAAACATGTACTACATATATTTTATCTTTAGTTTAAATTTCATTTCTTTCTCATTCCTTCTTAAAAGCGCTATGTTCAGAAAGTGTATTACGTTATAAATTTTAAAACGAAAAATGAATGTGTAAAATTGGAAGAGCATTTCTTCGGTTTTAATGAATATGTCAAAATCACAATAAATGCATCGTTTTACGAAAAAAGTAGATGTAGATGCTAACTCCCCCGAGGCATCTGATCCAATCTCTGAAATTTCCAGGGGTCCGTGTTTTATGCTCTATTCACAGATTTGTATTGTTTTTTAAAAGATAGATTACAATTCGTTATCTTCGCCTTTTTCATGTGGAAAATGGAAAACTCTAACTGTAATATCATGGTCGAACTTCGATGTTATTGAAAAAAAGAATACATTTGATTTATTTTAGATATAAGCTGTGGTGAGAAAAAAGTGTAAGTACCTGAAAATCTTTATAATCCACTCTTTAGTTGTACATTCTAATCATGGCTAACTTAAACAGTGCCTTCAAACTACTTTCAGTAAAAATCCAGATTACGTTATGGAGGACATTACGAAGGACGAGGACCATCAGTATTCAGACGTCGCCAAAGAAACGGGTGGTAAATGAATTATTTGTTTCTCATCATGAATTTTAAAGGGAAAAAAAATCATTCCTGTCGATTTAAGAAATGTTCTAGGATAAAGAAAAAGATTTAGATTATATGACAGAATTTAATGCAATAATAAACATACTCAATATTTTTATTGCTTTAGAAGGTGTTAATCAAGAGCAAACATCGAGGTAAGATAAGGAATGTCTAATGGTAAAAGAATATTTTAAAACTGGCCCATATGTAGTAGATAATAATATAATGTACATGTATTGATATATTAATTATGCGATGCATTTACAGATCCCAGTATGATGAGCTTGACAGTTACAGACAAGGAAATGTTTATGCTAAAGTAGTGGGTGATCACTCAGGTAAAGCATTAAATGTATCTGGTCCCAATATTTGAAATAATTAATACATAGTTGTGTTTTTAAATCATCTGAATTAAAAACACATTAGTCAAGAATTGTTTTTCAAATGAGATAACACTTCACCCAACAGTAAAAAAAAATCAGACAGCAAGTTAATATATTTGGTCATCTTCTCATATTCTTCTGTACACCCCCCGCTACAAAATACGAATCTTAAGGAGTAAAGAGGGCTTCCTTGAAGGTTCCTGATTTAGATTAATTTTGTAGAAATGGATTTAAAGCAGACTTAGTCAAAATTTGACCTTCAGGAGAAAATCATTAAAACCCATCAAAGTCAACAAAGTCAAAGTTTTGCCAGAATATACTGCATAAAATCACATTTATTCAAAGCAAGGATTTGAATATCAGAAAAGGAAACAATTTTAGATGAGATTTTTTTCTCGGTTAGGTGTGACGAAGAATTATACTCGGGTTCATTTCAATGTCATGGTCAATGGAAGAAAAAAGTGAAACTATTGTTTCGGAACAATTTTATTTCTAAAGAATAAAAAGATATAATAATTTCTTTATGTTCTATATAGTACATTTGAAAGAACTCATGTTACCCACGATACTCATGACTGTACAGTCTTTTCTCATATTGGACTTCAAAATAGTAATTTTTAAATTAAACATTTTTCAGTAATTTTTAAATTAAACATTTTTCAGTAATTTTTAAATTAAACATTTTTCATTAGAATAAGAAGCAAGTTCTCGTGTAAAATCAATTTTGAAATATTTTTTAATGTATAAAGATTTCCTTTCCACCTTCTCCAATTTACATCAATAACATGTTTATAGTTCTTGACTGACAAGAAGTCTCATAAAAAAAGAAAAGCAACCAACCAAAGAACAAAAAAAAAAAATGCCCAAACTGCAAAAAGAACGGTCCAATTATTGAGTAAATAAAGGTTTCCAATTGTTGATAAAGAAAAAAAAAGACAAAATAATATACAATATATTTATACTCTTTGAACTATGCTTAAGTCAAGAACATGTATCCTGAGTATGCATATTGGAAAACGTGAAAAAAATGCCAGCATTGTGGTTTAGGACAAGTGTTCCACATGTCTTATTTTTAATCTTCCGTGCAACTAATTACATGTATAATTATAAATAATGACTGCAGTTCGTTTAATTGTAAAGCTATTTTAAAAGCATTTTAAATAAAATGTTTTAAAGATTCAGCATTAAACATCTTCCTCTCTTTACTTTTTAGCCAATCTCTATATTTTTCAGATAATTATATGAATACAACGTAGATTTATTTCATCGTAAAAGAATACAGCATGCCTCTACTGTGTACGAAAAGGCTTCTTAGTGACATTGACACTAATTTAAAAGTGATTGATTTTTTTTTTACATTAATATCAAACGTTGATTACAGAATAAGTATAAAAATACTTACATTGTAAAAATGATTTTGTTTTTTACAAAAGAATTATCAGTTATAAACATCTATAGATATTGTAGAATTTTCTTTAATACTTATACGTTTTCTGGACGTAATACTGAAAATACTGAGGTAAATAGTGAGAAAAAAGCATAATTTGACAATACATTATATTTGTCTCATTCATTGATTTACTTCATCAATGGAGTTCCCTTTACTTGAATCCTTTAACACCGTCTTTTCAAGTTAATTAGAAACTTGCTTCTGTAAAAGGAAATTGATTATAAGACATTATACACATATCAAAAGATGTATATGTATTAGTACTAGTATACCTAGTATGTAGAAAGAAATGCTTGCATATTATCTACCTTAGGTAGACTTAATTAAGCTGTATATTACATATTTATCTGTACACTTAGTCAATATATTTATATGTAAAGTGTTTTCAAAACATACAACATTAAGCCACTACTCATATTTTTCAGTGTGTTTATGTGTAACCTTTGAGTCTCACCAAATATACTAGTTATAATTCAGTTCTAGTTTTTATTACATCACATTATTTTTCTTGCTTTCTTTACTGGATTAGTTATTTGAATTGTGTACAGTCCAAATACAATTCATGATGTTTTACATGAACGTTGAAAAACTTTTAAGAGATTTGGCAATTTTATTAAGATTAATACCCCTGTCTTTCAAGAAACGCAGCAAAGCTATATTATGTTACTAGTTAGTTTCCAACTGTGGAATTTTTCTGAATTAAGTATCACTGTTGAGTATTTAGTTGTTTTTCTCAAGGTACTAAGATGATTGCTATCAAATAGTTTTTTTGGTTTGATTATTTTGGAATAAAGCTACGTTTAAAGAAATAAAAAATTTTTTCCCGTATTTTATACTTGTGTTAAGTATAAATATTTTCAAAGCATTCTTACAATCAAGTGTACACCGAACATGGCATGGTCATCATGGACGAACGTTTTCTCCGCTGATCTCAAAGCCCCGTTGGCTTCTACCCCTACACATTTTTCAGGTTCCTTCACTGATTCCAGGGCCACAAAATTTTCTGGATCTAGAACCAATAGAAGCAATGTGTCCAACCTATCGTGCTCCTTTTCCTCCGGCTAAGAAATATTGTCAACCAAACACCATAGGTAAGAGTGGTATGTTAGTATAATCATATTAGTAGATAAAAAAAAAAAACAGGTAAAATGTTGATTATTATTGAATGTTTGAAACAATTGTGAAAGCAATATTTCTTTTTTTAAAAAATTATTTTTCTTGTTTATTTCAATTACTAGTATGAGTTAAAAAAAATGAAATTTAGATTTACGCAGCTACATTAATTTACAGAATAAATTGACAGAATGTACTTATGTCTGTAAACTTTTCTTTCACTGTGTATCCACAGTAATAAAACCAATCTGTACTCACCACGTGAACAACTCTAGTTTCTCCATTATTTATAGCCAAGAAATTAAAGTTATTATGAAGGCGAATCTCCATGTTGTGCTTTTCATTAATAACTGTCCAGACAGCTGAAACGACATAACACAGTGTAAAACGTTAACATATATTCAGATTTATATGATCATGTTGGACGAATTATACTGAACACGCTCAAAACTGATTAATGGGTTGACAAATACAAATATTAAAAAAGAAAAGAGCACGTACGTTCCTCTTTTCCCTGAAAAAACCCTCTGATTATAAATATATTAATCAAACAAACAAAAATAACATGAACAAAATTTACCATTCCATTCTTGTTCCCCCAGGTCTCCCCTACCGTCTACTTTGAGTTTACCAAACCGATCCTGTACAATCCTGAGTGCTCGTCCACTTATTTTTGAGACCAACTGCACCTGGTTGCCCGTAACAAAATGGCTCTAAAATCACAAATCAATATTACTAAGATGTTGAAGACCTGATTGTAATAAAAATAATATAATTATGTGAAACTAAAGTTGAACAAGAGAAAAAAAAATGTAATTCTGGTAATACATTCACCCCTCCCCCCACCCCTACGGGGTGGGGTGAATGTATTAATTAAATCACACAATATGTCTTCGAGGGGCATTGATTTTCTTTTGGGAACTTAAGCCACTGTGAGCTGTCTGTGATTATTTTCTTTCATTCTTTGGCATTTTATTATTTTTCAAAACTCTCTTTTTTATGTTAAACAAGACACATCCTAACGTAAAAAAATGCAGATAGCGCTACAATCAATACAATCCTCCGTTTAGGAGACCTTTTAGTGTCCACTCTGGAACTCTTTGCAGTAGTGTTCACTCGATAAATCTTAGCAGTAGTGTCCATTTTGGATTTTTTACCCGTAGTGTCCAGTCTGGAACTCTTTCCGATAGTGTCCACTCTGGAAATCTTACCAGAAGTGTCCCTTTTGGAACTCTCATCGGTAGTTTCCAAATTGGAACCGCTAGCAGTAGTGCCCCCTTTGGAAGTCTTACCAGTAATGTTCCCTTTGGAACTCTTGCCAGTAGCATACCCTTTGAAACTCTTGTCAGTATTTTTTTCCTTGGAACTGTTTCCAGTAGAGTTCCATTTGGAACACTTACCAGTTATGTTCCATCTAGAAATCTTACCAGTATTTTACCTTTTATACTCGTTTCAGTAGTGTTTCTTCTGGAAATCTTACCAGTAGTGTTCCCTCTGGAACAGCGGTTTTTTTCTCGACTTCTATTTCATCTTCTACACTGTGTCCAATTTTCTTTGACAAAACTTCTAATGGATCGACCTAAATTGTAAATTCAATTAAGTATGTCGATGAATACCAATAATTACACAGAGCAGAAAGGGATATACCAGTTCAAACACACATAAAAAAATGATCAACTGAATTTGTTCATTAACATGCAAATTATGTTATGTACTTGCCTCCTCTGGTGGATAAGTCAACTGTTTGCCGGATGGCTTGGCCATTGTCGCTTAGAAACAAAAAGAGGGGATCGTGTACACGCTGGAAAGGAACAAAAAATCGTGTAAAGAAAGCCAAAAAAGGCAGATTTTGCCATAATTTTCAAATTATAATTTTGTGCAATATTTCTGTCAAAATATGATGCCTTTTAAAAGTGTTTTTCTCTTCAAAATACTAGTAATTATACTGTTTTAAATTTCTTTTTACAATTGAATAAACATCAATTTGATCATCTTATCTTTCTTTCGAAAATAATTAGTAATATTTTTATTACAGCTGACATGTACAGCTACATGTAATAGAAGTACATTGTAATTTTGCGACCTTCATTTTGAGCATTTTTGTGATGGCAAAACATCGCAACTCGTGACAGTGTGCAACAGTATATCAATCCCTAGAACTCTTGGTGTGGAAAAATTAGGATGGATTGTCAAAGAGGTTGTCATTGCATTTTTCCCACACGATTTAGTGCGGTTACCGTAGCATAACTAGGTTACACGACTGTTGCACTGTGCACATGACCCATTCCGAGCACCATACTTAACTAAGTTATTGATTTTTTTCTCTCTTTGCTGTCATCAGTTACGGCATTTTAATAGCAAAATAAAATTTTATGTCATGTGTCATAAAAGAGTATATGTCATTATACATATTTTACATGAAAGCATAATTATTCTTAGCTATATAAATAAGACATACATGTATATGCAAAATGGAATAAACCAGATCTTTCTGGAATGATATGCCTATTACTAGTATATCTTTTCATATAGTTTGTATTTTGTATGCGAAGCTCGAACTTCGACAAAAAAGCAGGCATTTAAACTTAAGTTTACAAATTTGATATTAATTCAGACTTTGTTGGTTCTTGGTTATATTTAGAGAGCATCATAAATGAAAATTTACGAAGTTTTTAAGTTCTCACTTTATGTTCTGCAAAGGAATAATGTTTAAATGTGCAATACATATATCTCACATTGTCTATATTGCTAGCACTGCTTTTTAAAAATTATTTTTTAAAAAATGTTTTCGTTAGTTAACACTTACCTCAGTAGTATTCCTGATAACTCGGGATGATTACAGCAGTTCTAGAAGGCTCATTTAAATACCACCAGTTTATTGAACTTTTATGGCTAATTGTCAAAGAGTCATGTTGGCACTTGTTTATTTCTAACAAAGAACAAGTATACCCAAACAACAGGCCCTAGGACCACGCAGCTCATCTGAATAACCTTGTTCGTAATAGTATACAAAAAAACTTGTGTGTAGATTCGGTTTAATCTGGTCAGTTGGTCTGATATATAATATACAATTAGAAGTAAAACATTTTCTTCTATAGGTATAAGAATTGTTGTGTTGCAAAGTTTGGTCCATAATATGTTGCTTCAGCTGGCTTCGATGTCGTTATTTGAAGAGACTGGATTTTTACACACACTATTAGGATACAAAATTTGCCTCTTTTGTTACATTCAAAAGCCGTAGTGTTCATTGAAATCGCATTCTAATTTAATTCGGACTTTTTTTTCATAAATTCTTGTCCGTTAGATTATCAGTAGTAACTTTCATTAGTATGTCGATTCGATATATCCCAGTGAATTTGAAATAAAGAACACCACTGAGTTCGCCACATCTGTTATATATCTGGATGTTTTACTGACTATAGACAGTAATGGTTATCTAATACCAGTAATTAAAATGTTAGACAAACGAGATGATTTCAGCTTTTCATCGTCGCCTTCCCTTATTTATGTAGTAATTTACACTTTCACCTGCATATGGTGATCATGTCTCCCAACTAATTCATGAGCATGCTCTCAGTACAGTCAATTTTTAAACCGAGGCAGGCTACTAAAAATAAGTTGATGTTTTTTAAAGCTTATTATGAAATAAATGGGAGGGGGGATTCATCTCACACTATCCATCAGGTGCCTGTGAAATTGTTTTACAGTTAGACACTGCTAATTCAATCATTGATCGATCTGCCCATCAAAATGTTCTTAGACAGTTTAAAATGTAAGCGAATTGTTTTAATAATTATCGAAGTGTCAAAACATGTCACATCTATGGTTTGTTCCTTGCATTTAAGCAATCTTAAAATAACAAGAGATAATTAGTATACGGTATAAGATCAGTCCAATTTTACAAACAAAGCCAAGTTTATTGGTGGGTACATTGTAATTTATTACAAAAACAACACAGGCAGTTACTATCAATTAATTCTCGCAGTATTGAAGCACTTATATTTACTGTACTTTCTATACGTACATGGAAAAATCAGCCATTTTTGTTGCGGAAAAATTATCTTATAGACTGTCTCTGAGGGAAGACGTTTTCTCAATGTTGTGATAAAAATTCGATCTCGTTATCATTCTTTATTGCATAATTATAATAATATTCGAAATTCGTTTCATTATTCGATCGTCGGTCTATTCGACTGATAGTTGAATAGTCGACTATTCGTTGACATCCCTAGTTGCCATATTTTTTAAGATGTAAGACATAAATAAACAGAAGCATATGTCAGCATTAAAAATCTTACATTTTTAGTAAAAAGTATTATAAAAATAATGTAAAAACTGGTTCAAATACATAATTGTGATGCTGAAAGTTCCAAAATAATTGCTTCTTTATAAATATGTTTGAATTGTGAATATCAGGGAAAACAGTGCAGTAAGGAAAATGCCTGAATATAGATACATGATAAGGAGTTATTGCCCTTAGCCACACTTTTTAAAGATTGAATAATTGATTAAATAAAGAAAATATTCAATGTTTCAATTTTTTTACGAAATAATATTTGTTATTACACCCATTGAAAAACATTCTTCTAAAAGATATGTTTCTATGGGATATGAATTTAAATTAACAGTTTTTGCAAAAACCTATGACATCACATGAGAGTGGAAATACCTTAAAGAAATGGGTAGTACAATTCACTTTACTCAGTAAGACTGAGGGGCAATATGAAAACCATTTATCATATTCTGTCTTCAATAATTCAGAAGTGAAAAAAGAACTAGATAGATTACATGATCAATATGTATTTGTCCCAGTTCACGAAACAGATAACAACATTGTCTTTGTAAGGTTCATTATTTTAATTGTATTTTAGAGGAATATTGATTTAATTCTACAAGTGGTAACCCAACTTATAGATTTATTTCTAAGGAGAAAATTCTTCAATGTCATATGTCAGTTTTAAATATTTTTTAATATTTCCAACAATCAAATCGACTTTGAATTACTATACCTATTCTGGATTCCTAAACTACATATTAAAAATCCTTACAAAGATACATAGCGGGTTCCAGTAAATGTTCTACCAAGCCTCTTTTTATACTCCTCACTAATTTATTAACAATGGTGAAAAAACTTCAGGAGTACTGAACAACAATATATTCGAAAAGTGGTGTAAATCACGTGTTGATACTTAAAAATTCCAAGGACTTTTTAGAAATGAAATCACAAAATTTTACCAAAATCAGTAACATCAAAACATACGACTTTTCAACACTTTATATAACCATTCCCCACGACAAATTAAAGTCCATATTTTTGACTCTATAGACAGCTGGATTTTTTTCAGTAAAAATGGAACTCATAGATTTACTTACCTTGTCATCGGTCATTTGCAAAATCATTTTGTTAAAAAAACGTTCTGATTGTACACACAAGTACTCCGAAGTTGATATCAAAAAGGTGCATTAGTTTCTGGTTCACAATATCTCTATAGTTTTTGGAGATCAAGTCTTCCAACAATCTGTCGGAATTTACATGGGTACTAATTGCGCCCAGTTATTAGCAGACCTATGTTTGTACGTGTTCATATGAAGCAGAATTTATTCAAAAACTTCTACATAAAAATATGTCTATTCCTTTGTCATTAAATTCAACATTTAGATACATCGACGACGTTTTATCAATTGACAATATTCATTTTCATTCCTACTTTGATTCGTTATATCCCTTTGAACTCGAATTAAAAGATACCACAGAGTCTGACACATGTTTCATATTTGAGTATTTTACTTAAAAAAGACATCAATGGTAACTAACAACACAACAAAAATTAATGATAAACGTGATAACTTCAACTTTTCTATCGTCACCTACCATTATTTATGTTGCAATATACCATTATCACCTGCAAATGGAGTTTATGTCTCCCATTTGATTCGATACACAAGAGCATGCTTTACTTACGAACAATTTCTAAAACGAGGCAAGCTATTGACAAATAAATTGATGAAACAAGAATATCAACAGTCTCGGTTGAAGTCAACATTTTGCAAATTCTTAAATATTCGATACAATGACTTTGCAAATACAGTCTATCATTTAGTCGATTGTTGACTGACCTTTTTCAAACTAATTGTCTGGCCATTATTTACACACTGAATTGTCTACTGATTTTTCCGTGTGTCCGATTATAAGACAAGCAGCACACGGCGGGTGTGACCGATCGAAAGGGGATGCTTACTCCTCCATGACACCTGATCCCACCCCTGTTGTTTTTAGAGGTCCGTATTTGCTCTTCTCTAAATTTGTATTGTTTCAATGGATTTTTGAGCTGGATTACTGTTCGTTATCTTCATATTTGATCAGTCAATTTTCGTCATATACATGATTCTATTCATCATTTTATGAGGGGTTCGTCTCTCCAAGGACATTTTTCGTTAATTTACATAATAAATTAATAACTGAAAATCCGGTCGTAGGTGGGGGAAGCTTCAGACAACTGGGGGTCATCCAAAAAATACAGAAACTTTTGTCATGGCTTTTTTATTCAGCGTCATATTAAAACCAAATTCGTAGGCATATTGAAGCAATAAATCTGAATAATTTGAATTAGAAAATTAAAATATATCACGACATGTTTCAAAAGCATTTTAGAATTTAAAACTGCCAAAAATGGTCATGGGGCACATCAGAATTTATCAATTTACTAAAAATACACTTGATTTATATATTCCTAAAACGGAATTACTAGTAATGGAAATAAAATCAAATTGAGAATTCTTACATCATTTCAAATTCACATGCCAGTTTGTGACTTAAGTTGAACTGAAATCAATTGCTGAAGGAAGGTAGAGCTTATTGAAAAAAGTCAAAAAAGTTTAAGTTGACGGACATCATGGAGCATCGAATAAAGATACAATTTTGTTTTTCACTCTGAAAAAAATTAAAAACAATGCCTAAAAATGCAAGAGGAAGCTTGAAATGTACCAACATGCAGTACTTACATCACCCCTGGAAATTCCAGAGGTGGTATCAGGTACCTAGGAAAAGTAAGTATCCCCTGTCGACCGTTCACATCCACCATGACACTTATGCATTGGTCAAATATACGGATTAATCCGTTGTCAAATTTAGTATAAATACAAATGCCTAAATATTGGTGTGATATATGTCAGACAAAATACGACCCAGTGAAAGGTTGTATTATAACGACCACAGAATCTACAATATGCTGACTTTACATAGGGTTGTTAAAATCTCTGTAACATCAACTTATCTGTCAGTAGCTTGTCTCGATTTAAAATTTGAGCATAATCAGAGCATGCTCTTAAGTTTCGAATAAGCTGATTGGAGACATAAACACCATTTGCAGATGATAGTGGAATATTACTTGTCTAAAAGTTGACAATGGAAAAGATTAGATTGTTTCATTTGTCTTATTTAGGTGTTAGTTGCCCCTTATCGTCTATAGTCAGTAAAACATCCAGATATGAAACAGATGTCGCAGACTCTCTGATGTCTTTTAGTTCGAGTTCATTAGGATATATCGAGTCAAATACTGATGAAAGTAACTATCGTTTATTTATATATTCATATGTTGACTTAAAGCCACAGCAATTTTTTTCTCCTCAAGTAGAATTTTTAAAATAAATTCCGTTTCATGTGAATATAAAAAACAGCTAGGTCGGCTAATAAAGGATTACAACTTAACTAACATAACAGACGACAATTTATAAACTGGAATATTTGTTAATAATAAGTTAATTTTACTAGTAATAGATAACAATTCATGAACTAACATTACAGATGACAATTTATAAATTAACATCGTAGACGACAATTTATATAAATTAACATCACAGAAATCGATTTAACATCATATATAAACTTACATTACAAAAATCAATCTATAAACTACCGGTAATACCACAAATGATAATATATAAACAAACATCTCATATTACAATTTATAAACTAACACCATAGATAACAATTTATGAGTTAACATCATTAATGACTACATAAACTTGTATAAACTTACATCACAGAAATCAATTTATTATAACTAACATGAAAGATAATGTATAAACTTGCATCATAAACAACAGTTTATAAACTAACATCATAGATGGCAATATAAATTTAAACTAACATCACAAATGTTTATTTATTTAAACAATCATCATGGATGATAATTCATAAACTTACATCATGTATGACAATTCATATACTAACATCATAGAAGACAATTTATAAACTTACATCTTAGACTACAATTTATAAACTTAGATATGTCGACGACGTATTATCAATTAACAAAAGTTACTTCTATTCATATGTCGACTCGATATATCCCTGAGAGCTTGAAATAAAAGATACCACAGAGTCTGACACATCTGTTCCATACTTGGATATTTTACTACAAAAGACGTTCATGGTACATGTAACCTAACAACCAAGCTGTATGATAAACGTGATGACCTTAACTTTTCAATCGTCAACTTTCCTTACTTTTGTAGCAATATAACCTTATCACCTGCATACGGGATTTATGTCTCTCAGTTGATTCGATACGCAAGAGCATGCTCTATGTACGAACAATTTCTAAAACGAGACAAGCTATTGACAAACAAGAGATGAAACAAGAATATTAACAGTCTCGTTTAAAGTCATCATTTCGCAAGTTCTATGGTCGATACAATGACCTTGTCAGCAAATACAATCTATCATTAAGTCAAATGCTTACTGACCTTTTTCATACTACATGTAATTGTTAGGCCATTGTTTACACATTGAATTGTCCGTGGATTTTTCCTTTTTTCCCGATCGATCATGACAAGGAACACACGGCGGGTTGACCGGTCGGCAGGGGATGCTCACTCCTCCATGGCACCTGATCCCACCTCTGATGTTTTAGAGGTTTGCGTTTGCTCTGCTCCTAGTTTGTATTGTATGAATGCATGGATTTAAGAGTTGAATATTGTTCGTTATTTCAATATTTTATAAACTAAAGTCATAGATGAACTACAATTTATAAACTAACATTATAGACTGAACTTTCTGTATAGCTTTACCTCTCTTGCAAGATTATTTCACTCATATTAGACGTCACCGTATGTAGGTGAAGGACTTCAAAATTACACGTACTTGATCTTGAAATTCAATAATTTTGTGACTTTAAATTTATCTAAATGAAAGTAATTTATCTGATACAAAACCATGCATTCATTAAAGTTTTTTTTCTTTTTTTTTTTAATGAAAGACCGTTTGCTTTTTCAGTTGCAAAATTTTAAAATGTTGATATTGTGGTATAAGAAATATTGCAAAGTATTACCCTCTATATCCACTTGGCCAGACTTTAAAATTTATTTGAAGTCTCCTTTGTCATGTTTGTATTTTATTAAAATTTCAAATTTAAATCTTCTTATTAATAACAGACTGACATTAATTCCTATAAAATTCGAGTGTCCTCTTACAGTGTATATTGAAATCTACATGGCCTAAAGAGTCGGAATGAACCCACAGTAGAGGTCCGTGGCTATGTTTAGGAATGAATGTACAAGCATCTTATTCTTGGGTTCTTTGAAAAAATATTGTAAAATAATTGTGCATGTAATTTAAAAGAACAGATTCTATCTAGTGCGAAGCTTAAGCCACCATTGGTAACAAAGGAAACAAAATGTTTCTTTAAAAGGGGTTGACAACAAAGAGTTTTAGAACTGAAATCCTTTGTTGCAAACAAAAAAAAAAGACCCTAGAAGGCCTATGCATATGTTGTAGATGTAGTTAATTTATTCACAGTTGGTATATATTCTCATAAAATTGTTTAATAACAATAAAGCAATAATTGCTTTTTTGCACTTTCAAAATATTTTCAATGCCAAGTAATAGAAAATGTCCATATTATAATCTTCATATTCCATATTCATCCATATTCCATAATCATTGCATTTTAAGCTTGTGGTAGCAAATCACTAACAAAAAGCAATGGTGTAATGATACTTTTATATACAAACTAAAATTAATTTTTCTATATACATATAGTCAGAATTACTTATTTCATTACATTTTGCACCTCCAGATCATACTCATATACATTTCTTTTGTCCGATAAAAATAGCTTATTTCTTTCACAGTCTATTACAGAACATCTGTAGTCCTCAATCTCAGGATCCCCAATAAACTGCACAGAAGTACGCCCTCGTAAATCAACAAACATCACGTCCTCAAAACCAACTAGGATCCAGCCTAGTCCATAGTTGTGAATACTTATGCATGAATCTACGTCATTTATGCGCCATTTTTCAGCTTGAAATTTATCCCAACTTACAATAGAAAAGGTATCACAATTAAAAAATATAATGTTTTCATTTTTATCAAACCTAAGAGTATCTGGCGTGTATCCTAATGTTGGTTTGAAATCTATAGTTTTTAGAGTCTCAAACTGGTCATTTCTTACATCTAAAGTCGTTAATTTAATTAGAAAAAGCACGTTTCCATCACTTAAGATGTCATAGTGCATTCCAGTCAATTCGAATCTTTCCTCTAAACTTAGTCTCCCTTCACTGAACAGATAGTAACTGACCAAAGTATTGTCCATCACGAATATTTTATCTTCTTGTAAACCTGTAAGACTGTGTGAATCGTCAGAGATGATTTTACTGGTAACGTGCACGAAATCGGGGGTAAAAATTTTAAGCCTTGTATTTGCAGTGTCCACAATCGCAAAGCGACCATGGGAGAGCAAAGTTATGTCCGATATTTTCCATGGCTTACAGTCTGATGGTAAGGACGATGTGTGCTTCCTGCAATACCGAAGAAAGGCTGGTTTTTCACTTTGTTTTATATTTTTGATGTCCTTAAAACCGCTTCTTCTATGAAACTCTTCGGTTGGAGTTTGAACAATAGCAATTGCACTCTCCATTCCAACTATAAAAAATAAATAAAAATTGAGGGCAAAAAAATCCAGGAAAATGTCGTGCGTATAATTCCTATAGAATTAACTAAGACGTAATTTACTCATTCAAGAGAGAAAGAGACAAATATACCTGCTCTGTGGTTGTTAGGTTCCGTTACTTTTACTGCGGTATGTCACAATGAAAGTGTCCGCTTCCCTAGCGATTGTGAATTATCCATCCAAATGACAAAAACAACTGACACGTTATTTAAATGCATTACCTATTGATTTCACACAGAATGCAAACAAAAAAAACACATAATCTTATCTTTTCTTTTTGTTTAAAATGGCAAGACAAGCAGTCCGAGTAGAACGAAGTTCTAATGAAAGAACAAGAATTCATATATTCTCTTGCCGTGAAATAACTCCTGGTTAAATATTATTCTTTTTAAGTGGATTATGCTCCCTTTAAAAGTTTAATATGTTTACACCGACCTCAACTGACATGTTTTTTTTTTTAATTTTAGAAACTTTTTTTTTCAGTAACTGGGTCAATAAATGTAGAACAATCACGTGCAATTGATTGTTTATTTACAAATCAATGAAACTACATGTATCGTAAACGATTATGTGACATTTCGTCTGTACTTTAATTCTTTAAGTAACCTTCAATTGTTTTAATATTTATAAAGTAATGAGAATTAAAAAATTAACAGTGGAGAGGCCTAATTAATTCATATAATAGGGAATTTAGCCAAGTAGACTGATTAAACTTGAGAAATTGGGTAAATCTGGCGGACTATACAAGTATAACTCTGCGTACAAGATTAATTAATTAGGGTCACTGAAGTACATGTATTCCATTGAAGATTATTATAAATATATTTCAACAGTTCTCGCTGGTCACTCTTAAAAAATTAAAAGTAATTCTATATTGATATATGTTAAATCTAATATTGTTTTAGTCGGATGAGGAGGGGGGATAAAACGATATAATGCAAGACATAAATTGGTATTATTTGAAAGGGCAGATATGCCTGCTTTTTAACCCATTTCTTTTTACATAGACTTTGTTTTAAAAACTAAGTATAAGATCTACTTAAAATCTTTCAGCTTTTTCATTACAAGCACACATGGTATTCCGCACAGTGACATTCTTTGCCGCTTGGAAATAATGTAAGTTTTGAAAATACATGTACCATTATATACATGACACCTCTGTACATATTTTTTCAACAATGCTGTTTAAGGTCGCTAGTCTGATGGTATTTTTTTCTCGGGGGTGGGGATGGCTGTTATTTTCTATACAGGAAAGAACTCGTTCAAAATATCCTTCATTCACATATTGAAACTGGTATTAAAACTCATTAAATTTGTTGGTAACAATTAAAACAGGGTACCAATATAGACCATTTAAGAAAATGTACACAGTATTTCAAAAAAACTGTGTGTACAGTTAAGATGTTTTGTAGATCGATGCTATCATTTTTATGTATCTTTTCTGGCTGTTTTTCTTAATTTATTTTTAATTTGATTTAATTCAATTCGATTTCATTTTATTTTATTTATTTATTCATTTTTTAATTGATTTTTTTTCATAAATAATAAAATATTTATTTATTTATATTTATTTTCATTTCTTTATTTTTGGTTATCTTTTCATTTCTTTATTTTTGGTTATTTATGAGAATCGGGTTCGGCATACAAAAATTACCATTTATCGTTATGGACGCGAAGAGACACGAAGTTTTCATGTTGATTTTCAAATAAGACATATTTGGCGTATAGATCTCAGGTAATAACCAAAATGTGTTGGAATCCTATCAGACATACGCAAATTATAGACAGTTATTCAATGAGATATGAAAATAGCTGAATAGGGTACATGACTCGTGACATTGTGTGAAGCATTTTAGGGACAAGATCAAACAATCGTTGTCTGGGGAAAAAAATCAAACAAACGGGGGAGGATGGATAAAGAACCCAGAAAGTTTTTGTCGTCTGACATGATTGACATCTATGATAGCACAAAAAGTACTTAAATGACTTGAGATTATATGTTTATTTGTTATTTACGTCTCTGAAATGCATGCTTTTTGTATATGATATATCAATTAACAAAGGAAATATAAATTATTTACAGTGTAATATATAAATAAGTACTAAATAATCAAATTTGAATCAGCAATTAACACATTTAGTAACTGAGGGTGGGAGTCTTGATGAAAACTATGTGAATTTAGTTTTTTGTCGGACATTGAACTTATATTGTTCTACATGTAAGTATTGACCTGAAATAGACTGACGTTAATGAAAAATCAATGTGCTAAAGTTTCCTTTAAGGGGACTGTTCTGAAAATATAGAATGATGGTATAATACTTAACATAAGTCTATGTCTTGAATGGGTTTGTAGAAATGAATATATTATACTCTTATTTTAAATGTTTCAGAAGGGACAATATTAATATTTTCATCTCTGGCATCACATTCATTAAAACGATGGCTGTTCCTGATGGTGTAGATAGGGATTCCATGATGAAGCAGGCTCAAAATATATGGACAATGTTAGATGAAATGGCAGAAAATAATCCACAGGTACATCTAATACAAGCCATACATATTCTATACTGCAAGTCACATCTTAAAATTATTTACATGTAATTTTGCAAAATAATCCAACAGCAAACATTAAAGTTTTTGAGAAGAATTGTATGAGTAATCTTATGCCAGTTGATCTTGATATAATTTAATTCTAGTTATATTGCAGTATTTGATTGGATAAAAAAATTACTTCATATTGTATAAATTGGATTGCCTACATCACAATGACTTGCGTTAAAAACGTATCGATCTGCCTGACGTTACACGTGAATGAAAATTAAATTACCTGGTAAAGGCAATGAAATTAATAGCTACCCAATTTATACGGTATAAAGTGGGTTGGAACGGTTTAGGCCTATGCTTTTTTATAAACCACTTCACGGTTTATAAAGCATAAACTGCCCCAACTTAAATTCATTCCATATAAAAGTACTTGTGAATAGTAAGTAGTTAATATCAGTGTTTCCCATAAGGAGGATAAAACAGTAAACATATGCACACACAAAAAAAATTTTGTTTGAGTAAACATGGTAAATGCATTGCTTAATACTGCTATTTTCTAACAAAAAAAATCATGTGTAATGAGTGATTCCTGGTATATAAACTTATACTAAAAAGTGACAAAAATGCTGGGAATTATTTTGACCATAAACATAGTGCTAATCTAGATGTATTTTATACATATATTACATTGACAAAATTTTATCCCAAAGGCTTACAGAAACTTTATTGACAAACATATGACAGAAGGGAAGGAGTACATGAAACCAGCAGAGCCCCATATGTGTGTCATGACAATGGTCACAGTAAGTTAGGAAGAAAAATTAATCCATTTATTCCTGGTTTATTGAATTATCTTTTTTCCAGAATAGGTTAATTTGAGGTTAAAAATACACATTCGTTTTTACAGAGTACAAAGAGAAGATATTTCATTAATTTTTGTTCTTGGAATAAAATCCCAGAGCCAAAGACTCCTGAGGATGCTATACCTGTTACTGGAACTAAAGTCTTACAGGACAAGGACGAGAATGGTATAAAAAAAAATGTGTAACATTATAAAACAGATTTACACAAATCTCTAAATATTTAGTAATTACTATAATTTTGGTGGGGTTTGCTTTGCATTGCTTTCGTGACATTAAGAGACCCAGGAATTTATGTCCTCCATAAAATGTAAAATTGTCAAATTACAGTGTCAGCAGTACATTTATTTAACCACAAAATCAAATCCCCATGAACCTACATTTTTACTCAAACCGCGAACTTTTGACTCACCAAAAAAAGTTATATTGTACAGTGCTTTTCATTTTTGGATGCACAAAGTGCATAGACATAATCTACTAAGATTTTTTTTTAAAATATTATTTTCAGGAGACTTTTCCTACTCTGGAGTTGCATTTAATCCAAAGATTTTGGAGGAATTCGGGATGGACTGTAAAAATTCATCGGATCGAACTGCTCTTATAAACTTAGCCATAGACTATGTACACAATCAACATAAAATCACTCTATCAAGGAGTTTTTCAATTTTACCATCTACAACTAAATTTAAGGGCAACATCCTAAGTCTACAAAAAGCATTCCAGAGTCAGAAACAGAATGAAGATGATGAGTTTGATGAACAGCTCTCAGAGCTGGAAAAAACTTTTGGATTACAAGGTTGTGGTGCAAAAGACTCTCTATTGAACAAATTAGCAAATTTATCTACAGAGGACAATGCAAAGAGTAATAATACTCCAAATATTCAGCTACCAGGACTAAGCAAAGAAAAGCCAACAAAACAGAATCTTATTCAGGAAATGAATTCAACCAATCAGAAACCAGTATCGGAGGTTAAAGTCCCAGAGTACAATATGGAGGAGAAATTCAAAGAAAAAGACTTAGAGGAGCTGATTCTAACCATAAAATTACCTGGAGTGAACAAAGTGTCAGAATGTGAGCTTGATATTTCTGAGGTAAGAAGAAAGAAAAGTCTACTACTCAGCACATTCCCTTTATTTTTCCCCATCTTCAATGTATATAAAATCTTGACATATGTGATAGAAAATATATTTTAAAAAAAAGATTCCTTTTTTAAATAAATCAAAAGAATTACTGTAAAATTGTTTAAATGTCAATCTTGACCTATTTCAAATGGCCATATTTAAATATACAATTTAAAAAAAACATGTGTTATTTGTTATGTGTTTTTTAATAAGTTGAAATACCCTCATTTATCTTCCTCAGGATGACATTGACTTGACAGTGGAAGATCTGTATCATCTGAATGTTTCTTTTCCCTACCTCATTGATGATTCTAATGCATCAGCGAAATTTAACAAAAACAATTCATCACTGATCATAAGACTACCTGTGCAGACATAGTGAGAAAGTTCAAGGAACAGGAAGTGCAGTGGAGACTAAATACCATTGTATCAACTTTCATTATATGTAAATTGCAGATCAATATTTAATTACTGAATTCACAGTGTTCCAATTAAATGCTAAGTGATCATCTCAAATGACTTCTTATTTTTTTTTTGGTCACTTGTACATTATTCTCTTCACTAAGAAACAATGTTGAATGAAATCAAAGATGTTTTCCACAGGGGATAAACACATGAAGATACATCCTAATGAAAATTATATGCCATGAATTTTACTTCCTCTGATAAATATATGTTGACAGCTTTTTGAAAGACAAAAGCTTGAGAGCTTTTTGAAAGACAAAAGCTTGAGATAAACTAGTATATCATTTTTGCTTATTTTGGATATAAATCATATAATGCCAACAGAAAACTTAAATGACTTAGTCTATTGCCCTGTCATTGGATATCCAAGACCCAACCCCCTTTTTTTTTTAAATTCTGCAAAAACATAATTTTTAAAATATAGTAAAACCTGGCAAATATCCATGTGAATAAATATTGCTTGTAAAACCAGTAATCTTTAAGACTTCAGCTAAAAGAATTTAAAGTATTTCACAGATTTTTTTCCCCTATGTTATTTATAATAAACATGGCAACACTATGAAATCAAAAACCAATACATATGTACTGTATAAGCAGAATTTTTAGCAAGGATTCAAGTTTGGCATTATTAGCGAGGGTTTTGAGATCGCTCAAATTGAATATCGCTAACAATTTATCCTGTATCGGTTGTTATAGCTATCTTTATTGACATTATAAAATTGCTAAAATTACTTCTTGCTAAAAATATATACCAATTTTGGGGGATAAATCGCTATTTGTGTCTCACTAAAAATTCCACATACACATTATATAGAATTGTGCATCTTGATGTAGTCTTCCAACAAGTTTACAATGCTTATGACAGATTTAATAGCACTTTAAACAACAAACAAAACACCTTGCAAATGCCAAGGCTCATTTGACCAGTACATCTAATGAAATATGCCACTTCCATTGATAATATAGATTTCCAAAAGTCTTAACCCACACAGTCAAATGGTGATTCTGTCATCAAAGCTTTTACATTAGAAATTCCACAGACTTAATTATAGGCAAATTCAGAATTTTCTAAATATAAATAGGTGAGGCTAATGCCATCTAACTATAAGCAGAGAGTGAAAGTCCCATCTTTCCATGAAAATATCCTAAACCTTTGCTAGCCTCAGCAGTATCGCTTACTGGTCATTGCCAGTCTATATTATACATTCCATTATAGAACATCTATACTGTTGAGAAGTACTTGCAATATTTCTTTCAGTTGTCTCTACCTGTTCATCCCCTTACATCAGTTAATCCAGTGATGTGAATATTCACATTGAAATCTTGCAGTAATAGGTAAATTCGGTAGTAGCATTTCATAAAAAGCAAGAGATTAGAACTGTTCAGATGATTTATTTTTACTCTATGTTCCTAACCAACATCTGTCACACCAACAGCTTCATACTTTACAACAACTGATTAAAGTCTTATTTCAGCACAAATCAAGTCACTGTATATGAATTAAATGTTAAAGTTTTTCTATACATGCTCTTTAGTTCACGCTGCAATCTTTGAGGGAACGTCATCTGGAGCATTTCTCTCCGGATCAAAACCTAACACTCGCATGTGAAGGTCACCGACCTTGGGGTTCTCTGCAGAAAGATCTATCTTATCCTCCGGAAATTCTGGAGTGAAATTTTCCATACTTACACTATCAAGCTCAATAACTTGGACTGCTTTATCTGAAATGAACAATTCATGAAATCTGACAGACATGGGCTTGAAATGAGTCATTATGTTTGTGCATTTGTGAAACAATCTCAATCTTTTTTCTGAGAGAAATGAATTTAATGGAAAATTCTCTCCTTCTCCACATAGTTACTTCACATTTTTCAGTTACTAAATTTTGCAAATATACTAGAATGCATACCATCCAGACTGACAATTAATAGCCATAGACATGTACATGTAGACTAGCTTTTTTTCATTTTTGTTTGCAGTTAAAAAATCTCCAAATCCTCTGTTAAAAATCTTCAGTTTTTCCAATGCAGTTAAAACTAATTTGAAAAATTTATTTACAATTAATATCCTTATAAAACACTTTTTTAAGTATACCGTATCATATACATAAAATATTTTCTTATATTGCCAAGAAGCTTTATGAGTTAACTATGCAGTAATCGATCGTCATTTCAATTACAGAACAATCAATAAAATGTTTTCAAAAGAGTAGGACTCAACAATGCACGTCTATAAGAGAGCATGGATCATTGGATGATGGTTATCATCATAAAAGTTTAATTTATTTATTTACAAGAGTTACTTCCCTTACAGGATTAATTTGTTCATTGCAGGCTGCCAACTTCTGACACATGATTTTACCTTGAAATTTGAGGTCAGGGACAGCAGTTGCATTGGCCTTTGTTAGGTTGTGCATTTTATAGATTCTGTTTAAACTGTCATTGTAGTTCTGTATAACTTCAGGTGAAGCATCCACCAACACCTCTCCTGGCCTGAAACAGAGAAAAGTAATAATAATATTAGAGCACAGCTGTCCTGTCATATACTATTATACTTTAACAGTGTCATATCACATTCAATAGATGTATATTATGTCTTTGTATTTAGTTATCCCACAAGACTCAACTACAAAATGTATATTTGTTTTATTGTGATTTTCAGCATGCTTTCTTTTCTAAATGATGTGATTTAAGAAAAGCACTAAACAATGTAATTGCAGCATAACAAAGTGAGAGAGTACCTTAAACTGAGGTACAAATTTACAGTATTATTGACACTGTGCATTTTTGAACCTGAAAATCACTAGTAATTAAGATTTATTGGTAGCAAGTATTAGTCTAATTGATCAGGTATCTTCAATATGGACTTAACCCCCAGATAACTAGTAACACTTCAGCACCTCTAATAAACATTCACCAAGAAGTCTTTGATATTGTTAAAAATGTGCAATATCTATCCCCAAATTTAATATTTGCAAATAAATTAATCAAGGATAATTGTTCATTCTTACTTGAGCTGTTTCTTCTTGTTGGCATACTCCCTAATCTTAGTAACAAATAATTGCTGGATAGGATCAGTGGCTTGGTAAGAAGCCCCAGACAGATGAAGATTTCTAGCTGCAATGTTCCTCAACTGGCGTGGCCCTGTGATGGCCAAATGTCTCCCAAACATCTTGACCTTAAAAAGTATACCAAAAAAATTAAAACTTGCTGATTTGACATCTAGATTTACAGTAATGTACAGGGGATAATATTCATTGGATAAATCCCTTGTATTCCAGTGCTTCACAATGTCATAATTTATGTACACTGTAACACATAACATGTGTCATTTGTAACCAAGAAGATCAATTAAGGTAAATTCCTATTAAATACTTGGGGTAATCTAATTAATAAAATAAATGACATATTCTGCTTTTTTTTTTTCTTTTTTTAAAAAAAAAAAGAATATTAATTGGTCTATATTTATTTTCATTAAGTACTAATTTAGCAGTGTAATACTGATTACATTATATGGCATAAGACAGTGAATGGAAAAACCAAAATGGGAAAAAAACCATTAAATTAAGTCAAAAATGTAATAACAAGAATCTAACACATTTTAAGATTGAAAATCATTTTATCCAACTACTTGTCATCATACAGCTGACATTTTATTTCTTAAATCATTGCCTAAATTAAATACTTCCACAAAAACATCTTTTATACACCTTACTATACTACAGTGAACACTTTAGTTTTGAGTTTGGATGCCCAATTTCAAAAGCCTTTTTACGAAATAGTTGTTGAACATCTTTGTTTTTTTCCCACTGACTGACTGTATCAAGTTTTACTGAAATTGGACCAAACTATTGGAGAGTTTATTGAAAGAATTTTACAAAAATTCTCTTAATGGTAGACATGGCAACAGCATTCAATTAGATCAAAAACTTATATATAAAATTCTATAATTTTACAGTATCCTAATGTAATCTAATTGTGTACCAAACTTTATTCAAATCAACAAGAGGACCATGGGCCGCAACACTTCACCTGAGTAACTAACTATGGTCCAACTGTTTTTAATCTGAAGTTTGAAATCAATGTTTGGAATCAATATGAACATAAATTGCTGTGGTATATTTATTATAAGCTATCCAGATTTTTATTATCTATGTAAATTACTACAATTTCATTCCAATACAAATCAAGACCTGTCCCCTCTAAAACAGGTTGAAATTTTCCTGGAAAACTCACTAGCCCAGGGGCTACTGATCAATAAAAAATTATGAGCCCAAACATTGCTAATTAGCCCAACAATTTTTTAATCGAAATGAAAACAAAATAAAGCTACTTTAACTTCAAGTAGCTAAATAAAGCAATGGTAGGTAAAATGGTTTTAAAGTTCAGAATTTATTATAAGTTCAAACTGTTACTAATTTCACAAATGCATCTTAGAAACAAACTGAATTTTTGTAAAATTTTGTACATTGACTCACATACAAACTCAAACACACACATCTAATCTTTGACAATTCTGCCAACTTTCATACTGACCAGCCAATTAAGTTATTAACTTAAGGATAAGAAAGTTGCATGAACATGGGAAATATGTATGACATTAATTTACAAGACTGAAATTAGGTAGAGCTAAGCATAACAAATTCAAAGAATACAATCCTAAGATCTATAACCATAAAGTTGATAACACCTATGAGCATAGGCATTCCCGTGTAAGTTTAGATGACGAAATGATAATTCTACATTGGTCTACCCATCTATACTTTAAATTCAACTTTGATTTTATAGTATAGAGGGGTAGACATTTGTAGACATCATTTCATCAGGACTACAAACTTTCAAGGGAAGCACCTGCGGTATGAGTAAATGACATTGATAATGATATCATGAGACAAAAAAGAGATGCAAATGTTCAGGATTAGAAATTGCTACCATGTGCAAAAATGTCATTTCTAAACATCAAACTTTCAATTACAGATATCTAACTGGACCGTAAATTAATAGAACAAATACATAGAAACAGATTGAGAATTAATCATTTGTCGTTTATAACAGGTCCGACACAATCTCTTGATTTAGCTATATAGCTTGATTTAGCTATATGACTTTATTAAGCTATTCAGAATATTAGGTTGATTTAGCTTTTTTATCACACTTTTTTCTTAAATGTGTTATTTTCTCAGCATGCACAAAAAGTCGCACCTTGGTGCAGTGATAATATTCAACCTTGAACTCTTCTGAAAATAATGCATGTAAAAATCACTCATCAAATTGCGTCTCCTTAAGAGACTTTGTACTCAAAGTTCTAAAAGTTTTGGGGCTATATAAAGCAATTGATACAGTTACTTCTGCAATGAAAATATAAAGGTGCTAGGCCAATTATGGTCAACAAGATAATTGATTGGTAATAATTCAGTACAATGAGAAGCAATCATACTTATCCACGCCTCAACCCACACAAGGTAGTGTACAGTTACTCAAACAATGGAAATACATCTTTTGCTTGAAAGTATTCAAATGCTGCAATGTTAAAACTTTCTTTGATTTTGGTTGTTGTTTTGATAGCCCATAGTACATATAAGTATAGTGAAGTACTTGCGACTTTTTGTCTATTTCTTACAAAAAACATTTTTTCTGAAAAACTGCACATAAATAGCTTTATCAAGCTATTTTGAATAGCTTAGTAAAGCTATATAGCTATTTCAAGCTATATAGCTAAATCTAGATGGAATGTTCTAATCGTTAAAATGATATTGTCCTACGGACCCGGTGGTGAGGGCTTGTCCCGAGACACAGTTAGATTATTCTAACTAAGCTAAATCAGGGACCTATATACTAACGGGATAGGCAACTCCTTCAGCGCCATGTTTATTTACCCAAAACGGCACACACAACACTGCAAGTTTTTCAAACTACGTTTTTTCCCAGTAAAAAGCTTGTTTTCTGATTAATGAAATCTGTTCTTTTTGTTTATCAGAATGGATATTTAATAAATTTTAAAGCACATATTATAAAATTATTTAGATATTAAGTAAACAACCACCGAAATCGGCGATTTCTCGGAAATACGGCCAATCAGGGGCACGCACTGATTTTGAAATAAACGTAATTACTACTAAGAAAAGGAATAAAAACAGTGCTAATAACAAATCTTGAATAATTTTTTGATAGATAAATTAAGATTTTATTCTCAAATATTTGATAGCAAAAGAGATATATGCAATCAAAATTGACTTACGAAATCCCGCAACTTACGAGCTATCGCGAGACTTGCGAGAGTTGCCTATCCCGTTAGTATATAGGTCCCTGGCTAAATCAAGAGATTGTGCTGGACCTGTATAAACCTTCTACATATTCATAACAAAATGCCCCTTACATTCTGAAGGATTCCAACTAGAATGAAATGTACTTATGCACTTATATAATTAAATTTGGGAAATTTAATGTGTTAGCGATGTATGATAAAAATTTTCATACTTGATGTTCATGCTGAATTTAATATTCAATCATTTACAAAGCAAGATAGAGGATTTTCGAACTGCATACACTTGATTAAGTGTTATTCATTTTCAGGTCCGGTATGAGTATATTTTATGCAATGTAAAAAAACAAAAAAAAAAAATATTGTACCTCTTTCATAAACACAATAAAATTCATTTCATGACAGTTGTTTTTTCATGACATTAACTCAATACATTATTACATACCTTTTTTTCCAATCGAGATCACCTTGCAGACAGGTCAAGTAAATTTTCGTATCAGTATTTTACAAAACGAAAAAAAAAAATAATTATAGACCCGATATGTTTAATATACCTATTCAATTTTTGCCAAATAGAAAAAAAATCACAGGTTAAGTGACCTTTTAAATTTTTCTGATGAAACTGCTCTTAACGAACGATTCTTTTTTTTTTTTGGAGATGATGTACATGTACATGCATAGAATAAGATCCGGAATTTCCCTTACTTACTGTCTGAGCGGAATATTGAACGTTGAAAGTAAGGACCTATAGTGTCTAATAAGTCAAAAATTAACGGATTAAGTAATGTGTAATTAAATTGGTTTTAAAAATTAAATTCGTACGTTAAAATATCACACTGAACAAATAAAATTTGTTTGCATTTTATTTTAAAAAAAAAAACAAAACAAAACATTACGACATTTTTTCCAATATAATTTTAGAAACAGATTTTTATCCAATCAACATCTAAGAACATATTCCACCAGAGATTAGCAAATATCACTTCATGGTGTAAGGCGAATTTGTAAATTTTTCACATTTTCGACTTTTTCTCAAGAATCATCGAGCCAATTTTAACTAAACTCGCCAAAAAGCATACTTAGGTTATTAGGTACATAGAATTTAAGTTTGCTCACAGGAAATGTCATACCTTCTTCCAAGGGGATCCGGAGCTAATTAAGAATTCGTGATGTTTGTTTACAGGAAGTGCCATGCCCTCTGTCAAGGGGGGAGATAATTAAGAAGTCGGTGGCATCATTTGGTGGCATCATTCAAAAATCTTCTTCTCAAGAACCACTGGACCAGAAAAGATGAAAATTGAGTGAAAGCTTCATTACATACCAGTGGCGGATCCAGGAATTTCGTAACGGGGGCGCAGTAGAAGGCAGGGGGTCTGGGGGCTGCATTGAAGCCCCCAATGGGTCTAGGGCAAGGCCTCGGAAGCTGACAAATTCTTACAAATAAGAGATGTTTTCCCTTGATTTTAGGATAATGGACATATAAGTTCTACACACAAAAAATTCAAACGGCAAGGGGGGGGGGGGGCACGCCCGGCGCGCCGGCCCTGGATCCGCCTTTGCATACTGTAGATTCAAGATTCAAATTATTTTCCCTGAGGGTAGGGCGGACCACGACAGGGGATGAAAGTTTTACATAGGATTATAAATGAAGCAACTTTAAACATCTTCTCAAGAATAGCAAAACCATGATATTATTAAAAGCATCCTCAGGTAGTGTAGATTCAAGATTGTTCAAATAATGACCCCCGGGGTAGAACTGGGCCACAAAAGAGGATCAAACTTTTCAATAGGAAATATCTTTATAATTATAGATCTTCTTTTCAAGAATGGCAAAGCCATTATTAGTCATATTTATACAGAATCATTCTCAGGTAGTGTAGATTTAAGTTTGTTCAAAACATGATCCCCTGGCGTAGGTTGTGGACATGGTATTTGATACAATTTTTACATAAGATTATATCTAGGAAAAAGAATCTGCTTTTGAAGAACAAAAGGGGCACAGTTATACTCAGTTGAGTGTTGTGGCCCATGAGCCTCTTTACGTTTGTCACACACGGTATATTGAACCGGAAAAAAAGTCCTACCTTTATCGCAGGTCCCTTTAAAACATCTTAAATGGTTATATATATATATATATATATATATATATATATATATATATATATATATATATATATATATATATATATATATATATATATATATATATATATATATTATTGACATGAAAATATTTTTTTTTTATGTTTCATTTAAAAATTAACTCTATTTTATGATTGACTCTATTGATCACCGATGTGGAGCGATTTTAGTTGCATCACATCGCCTCACCAGTCTGATTATTTGAGATGTGTATAGATTCTTCCTTTTTAACTAAAGTAGTTATTTATTTTTTCGGTTTGTTAAATTGGTTCACAAATTTATGTCAACTCTACCGAATCAGAGGTCACGTGTTCTTGGTAAAAAGGAAGATCCTGCTTTGTCTGCCATTTCCGTTCACAAGAAATTTCCGGTCAAATAAACGACTTGTTCTGTGTTTTTCTTCAATAAGTGAATGAGGACACAACTGTTTCTTTGTGAGTATGGCTATGAAATGAATTATTTCTACCATAATTTCAAGTTTTACTTGCAGTCATTGCGTCCATCTGTGAAGCGCGCGTTCTCGCACATTTGGATGATTGGTCTTGCAAACAGGATGTTGTGCGTGCTTTCTTCAGCCGGAAGTTTTGATTACAAAGTTGTCTCAGGAGCAGACATTCATTTCCTCATTTTAAACATGTCGAAAATAAAAGAGTTCATTTCTATATTATGAAAAAATGCAGAATTACTAACAATAAATGGATCTCAATTCGAAATCCAAGATGTCTGCCGTCATGACCGATATTTGAGTGTATGAAATGAAGCATGTTCAAAGCGAAAAACAACAGGCCTTTACAAATTTTCATTTGAAATTTTTCCAGATATGTTTAGATTAGGCTTTAAGAAAAAAAAGAAAGAAATTAACCCGATTTCTTAATATTTTTTAAAACTAATTTCTATTCAATTTGCTTTAATGTACATGTACATCAGGCCTACCAGGGAGAACTGGCTATTTTTTCCTTTAAAAGTATCGAACTACATTGTTTTGAAGGCTTTTAAGTTTGTAAATACATTGAACTGATGCAGAGTAAGACTTTTTGAAGATGTAAATGAGAATTTAAGTGCAAATATTATTATTTGATTTTGGGTCTTCTACTAAAAGATGTAATTAACTGATTTTATGTATATCATGTACATGTATATGTAACCGGAAAGGAGAAAATGTATGTTTGGATGGGGAATTAAACTCGGGACCCCTGCATCACTAGTCAGGTGCTCTACCGACCGAGCTACCCAAGCTGATATCCACTGTCCAAACCATTACATTCCTTCCTCCTTAAATTGTCTTCGTCCTTAAAGATACAACCCAAGTTCTTATTAGCCCCTGGCAGGACTTTCACCTGCAAGTCCAGGGGTGGTCAACAGCACCAAATCTGTAACAGGAAAGGAAAAAATGTATGGCTGGACTGGGAATCGAACCCGGGACCCCTGCATCACTAGTCAGGTGCTCTACCAGCTGAGCTACAAAGGCCGATATCCACGGCCCAAACCATTACATATAAATATCACAGGCACTTAATTCAGTAATAAATTTTTTAACCCATAGTATAGTAATAGAACAAGGTATCCAACTCTGAGTTACATAGAGTACCTCCCTCCCCAGAATCACACTCATTTACACTTTCAGAGGAAATGCACTGGCAAACTGTTTATGTAACCATTGTCTTCTACAATAATTTATCTACACAACCGTATATGGCATCATTGGCATGCTTGTCAGAACTCTGCTTGCCGTGTGGAAAAGTCAAATCACACCATGAAATGGTATTTGCTATTCCAGGGCAGAGATTTTGATTGGCTAAAAATTTGTTTCTAAAATTACATTGGAAAAAATTCAAGAGGTTATTTTAGAATTATTTTTCAATTAATGTATTGACCGCTAAATACTGACATACTACAAGTTATCACCCTTTATATTGAAAACTCTGAGATCCCAAAACTTTGGTGCAAAAGAGATGTTCATTGCAAGTGAAGCAATTTGTTGTTCAGGTAATGAGCTATAGACTATTAGCAGAGATATTCTTTCTACACATTGAGCAAGAAAATTTAAATGAGACAGAGTCCATGTGAAAAAATTCTAAACGCTCAATCCTCTTAACATTTTTTTTTTTGGCAGAATTGCCTGAGAATTCAAATCTCTACCAAGTCATGGGAAGTCATCTGCAGAATTTAAGAAAATATAAATATGATATTTTTAGGCCCCATCATGTATATACAGTTGTATCCTTTAAATATTTGTGTGTACGTTGTGTAAAACACACTTTGCACTCTTTAAGTTTAGCTCATGCAGTTTCAAAGATGTTTTAAAGATAATAGTTTTTTTAATTTTTTTTTTTTTTTTGGGGGGGGGGGGTTGAGTAATCAAAAGGTTGATGCCTTGGATAGTTTCCAAGAAAGCAGTAAAATATTAAGACTTTATTTCCTGTGGTTCCAGAACCACAATATATCACAGTGCATATCCTCTGAATTAATTTAAAAGAGGTATCTCATCCAAAAATTAATTGAAAATATTTTCAATCATAGGAACATTTAACATATCATTTTTTTCTTATTTTAGAATAAAACATTGGTTAATATGGAGAATGGGGATGACACAATAACAGTTACCATGACTGAAGAGGGTTATCTGTCTATGAGTAAGTAGAGTTACAGTAAATTAGTTTTTTTGTTTGCTATTGCAGCCACTATTAGGGGCCTCCTTCACAATATGATATGTATTGTAAAATTTTGTTTCGATATGGTTATTTTTCGATATGATATATTTTGATAGGAGGAAACAAATTCAACGTTTTATGTTTTGTTTCACTTAATCCTGTCACTGAATCTACCTGCAAATTGACTAGAAGAAATTAATTAGAATGATTTCACTGTTAAAAGACTTTTTTACAAACTACCAGTCCTCAAAAATTTACATTTTTAAAATTAAATTATGTTGAGTAGCTTGTTTTTACTAATACCAAACCTGACTAAATAACGATCCCTACCAAAATATGAACCAAACTGAAAATGCAGATTTTGTAACATGTATGAAACCAAGAAAAAATACCATGGTGAATCGATACCACAGTGAACCGTTTCACCCCTAGCCACTATGAATGATAAGAAAATAAGATATGATACATGTAATTAAAAGTTTTGTTTTTCAAAGTGAGACATTGTATATTGATAGCAACATCCCAGACAGATGATCAGGAGATAACTGATGAGCCAGCTGTAAAAAGAATTCGATTGGACACTGACGGTGACACAACACAGGAGCTAACCACACAAGAGATTGCACAAGATGTTCAAGTACAAGAAGTTCACATTGCACAAGACTTTGCAAGTGAAATTTCAGAGTCAAGTGAACAAGTGGTTGCTTCTGAAGGGTATTGTTTTACTTTATACAGAATTTTTTCATGGATTTTGCAAATCAGAAGATGAATTGTATTTAACATTTAGTGAATCCACTGTTATACATGTGAATCTAAGTAAAATATGTACATCTATCTCTTTTAGCATTGTATATGAGGAAGAGAGCAATTCTCAACAGGCAGCTCCATCATATCAAAATTTGATCATACAGCACATGGACATAGCAGAGCCTCTGTCAACCCTCAAACAGCTGTTAGAGTTAAGGTTACAGTGCACACTTAGTGACCATCAGTTCTATCTCCAGGACACAATAGAGGTATATATTTCATAACATCCGGTATTCACTTCTTTGTAATGAGTCATTGAATGGAAATAATTGTGAAGTATCTTCAACAATGAAAAAAGAGTTACTTTTTCCCCTCTGTTTATGATCAGTTTATTAATGAGAGATTAGAAATATCTGAAGGTATCAATAAAGAATATGAAACCAATGAAGAGTTGATAATATTCAACATTTTGTTGTTGTTGTTAGAATTGATTTTACAAATCTTCTCTGGCATGTTAGATTATGATGTGAATTATGTTCAGTAAGACCCAAAAAAATAATAGTGTTGTTTCCTGCTACCCGACCTACCCTATTTTTTTGCACCCGATCCTAAAGTTTTTTTTTTAAAGTTTTGGGGAAAAAAAATCGTGAATTTCCGGAATTTCATCATTCTATCACCGTAATCGTTTTCCGTGTTAACACAAAAACAAGCATTTCATGAAATTCGTGTTTTAAATATGGACTTTCATATAAAAATACCACTTGAGTTGCGCATAAAAAGACATGAAATTTAATTTTGAAAGACAATTTGGACCTGTGACATGTTTAATTTTGTCTTGTATTAGTTCATATCCAAAAAATATTGTCAGAAAAAAATAAAAATATAAAATTAAAATAATTTTCCTACCTACCTACCCTATTTTTTTCAGGCTGGTAGCAGGAAACGAGACTATTATTTTTTTTGGCCTAAACTGAAACATCTGATCAGATAAGTTATTTCTCTATCACCTATAAGATTGTTTTTTGTTACAGCTGGACACCAGCAAGAGTCTGGTAGATCAGTGTGTACAAGGGGAGGGGATGGTACAGATCAACCTGGAAGTCAAATCTCAGCCAGGTCAGAAATAAGCCTTATAAAAGATATTTTACATCCTTGATTTAAAAAAAAAGTATTACAGAGAGAATTATTTGCTTGATGATTTGTCCTGTTGTTTTTCCAGGTGTTAAACCAAAAATAAATATTGTTGACATTTTAAAGCCTGCAGATGAAGTGGAAGCTCAACAGATTGAACAAGGTATTGCTCATAAAGGAAGTAAATTATATGCACACTGTATACACTCCATTACAAATAAACAAAACAAGTGTTTTATTTTTAAAATTTTTTGTCAGTGCTATTTCCCACTTTAGTTGCCTCTTAACATGGCTCTTAACATGGAAATTAAGAATGTATTATGTTATTGTAAACTTGTATTATACATGCATGTATATACCTAGTAGCATTAAATTTGTACCTCACTAAGCATTTGACAATTTTAGTAAAACATTAAGTGTACTGTACATACTTCAAAATGTACATTAAAATTGGTTTGGGGTTATTGTAGGTTACATATATATAATAAGTTCTTAACTGTAATTTTCAGAGGTAGCTCCTGCACCGCCACCTGCACAGACAACACAAGTTAAATCATCTCAACAAAAAGTGGTTATCCCCCTTCCTGAGGAGTCAGAAAATGTCACCAGGTGGATTGTTGATCAGCATTTTAGAAGAGAACAAGATCGACTCAAAATACCATTTGGTAAAGACTTGTGAAAGTGATTTTATTAAATTATGTTTTCAATTTTTTTTTCCATCAAATATTTTGCCCAGTACAATCATATTTCAGCTAGGTTAAAGTACTGGGTACCCGCCGATTTTGAAAGGCCTGATACCTTCTTGTCACTTCCAAACAAAGTGCAAAGTTGTAAAGTGCATGAAAGTGAATCATAATTTTCTGTACATGTGTGTTTACAATGTAGTTATCTCTAATATTTATCAAGGTAACATGCATGATTCAAAGTGATAGTTTAAAATAAGGATATTTATCATCTGGTAATGCTGTCAGATAATAAGAATTCAATGCATCATTCTGTTTCATATATGTCCATCTTTGTGTTACACTACCCATAGAATATGACCATTAATTAATTAGTAGTAATTAGAAGTGTACATGTATTGATGGTTTGAATTTAATATAAGCATTCCCAACTCATTGAAACTCTTACATTTATATCAAGAAACTGATAGCATACAAAAAGAACATACATGTAAATACGTTTGTAATATATATGAGGTTTTTATTTCAACTTGTTAAAATATAAGCATTTTTAATAGTGTTGAAATCTTGTACAGAAGCACAATATAGATTCACAGTAAATTATAAATATTAGGTTGAAAAAAATTTGTTATTATAAAAACTTTCCCATTATTCAGACCCTGTGCAGTGGAGTGAAATTCATGTAAAACATTGGATAGACTGGGCCATAAAGGAGTTCAAGCTAGTGGGTGTAAATCCAGACAGTTTCCGAATAACTGGGAAACAACTATGTGAACTGACACATCCAGAGTTTGTCAAACTCATTCCTAGTGATAAGGGGGACATTTTCTGGACACACCTCGAACTCTTAAGGAAATGCAAATTTGTTGGTAAGAAAACACATTCATAAAATTGATACTTTTCAAAACAATTAATCGGATAATTTTCAGTAAGATATGACCTTTTTAACTGTTCATCACACACCTGAAAAGAAGTAAAGTAAAGTTTCTTCGAGATTTCTTTTTGAACTGAATAAGATCTTATGAAAGTGTACATGTTTTTTGCATGTATTCTATTTTAACACCAGAAACTTCCAGAGAGACAACACATTAATGGTACTGAATTGTTTCTTGATTTCAGCTGTTATGCAGACACCAACACCTCATGCTATCACTACAATCACTGTTTCAACATCAGGACAAGATGGTCAGTTATTGTCATGTCTTATTTTTGATGATATTGTAGCTCATATATTATTTTGTCATGTCAACCAGGTTCTTTAAAATGGATAGGTGTTGATTGTACTAATTTACATCTAAGAGATTGCCAGGGAAAGTCTGAAGATTTGTTATCAAAAACTTTAATATAACAAATAAAGTCTTTTTGACAGTTTTGATTTTTGAGGCATTTATTAGATGCCAAAATCAAAACTCTACTGCACAAAAATTTGCACATTAAATGAGAAGAGAATTTGTTAGTTTCTGATATAAAGCAATTTTACACAACTTTGTGGCAGATCATTACAAATGAAAACAAGATACCCACAAATTTATTCTGCTCTCTTTTATTGTAACATTATATGACTATCGCATGAAAATGCTCTTTTTCAAAAACTATGTTAAAAATTAATGATAAGCAATTCTTAAAGAATTCTTTTATAAAACCTCCAGGAAGGGTGAAGCAGTATCGTCAGAATCGTCCTCGATCTCCTAGAATAACGGGGGATGAAAGGTTGTCTCCAGGAAATCGAACGGGTAAGAAAATTTGTACACTATAAATAGAAAAAAACCTTAATGAATATTTGCTTATTCTTAAATTGCCATGATGAATTTTCAAAATTGGATACAAGTATGACTCGCATAAATGTTCAGTTATATATGTCATTATATGTTTATAATATTTGACATAGGAAACAATGGCCAGATTCAGCTGTGGCAGTTTTTGCTGGACTTGTTAACAGATAAAGACTGTAGAGAAGTGATACAGTGGATCGGGGATGAAGGCGAATTTAAACTGAACAATCCTGAAATGGTGGCTCAAATGTGGGGCCAAAGGAAAAACAAACCTACAATGAACTATGAAAAACTCAGCAGGGCACTGAGATACTACTATGATGGAGATATGATCGCAAAGGTTAGCTTTAATACTATTACTCTGTTAATCAGAAGTTATGTGAAAAACTGTGGTAAAAATTTACTGCAAGGACAATATGTCAAAATGTCATTTGATCTGCACTTACATTTTAAATGTCCTATGATGGTAACTGTTAATGTTTCTTTTTAGCTCTGCTGGTCAGAGACCAGAAGAGCTTATGCGATAGTAAGGTGTCCGGCGTCCGTCTGTCTGTCTGTCTGTCTGTCTAGCTGTCCGTCTATCTGTAAACAATTTTTCAAAACGCTACTCCTCCTACAGTTTTGGTCTGATTTCAATATAACTTGGCACACAAGTAGACTACACTAAGATACATAATTTAGTGCATCGGTTTTTGATTTCAATGAACGGTGTTGCCATGGTTACTAAAAATAGAAATTTCTGTCAAATTCTTTTAAAACCCTACTCCTCCTACAGTTTTAGTCTTATTTCAATATAACTTGGCACACAAGTAGACTATACTAAGATACATAATTCAGTGCATCGGTTTTTGATTTCGATGAACTGTGTTGCCATGGTTACTAAAAATAGAAATTTCTGTGAAATTCCTTTAAAACGCTACTCCTCTTACAGTTTTGGTCTGATTTCAATATAACTTGGCACACAAGTAGACTAAGCTAAGATACATAATTTAGTGCATCGGTTTTTGATTTTGATGAAGGGTGTTGCCATGGTTACTAAAAATAGAAATTTCTGTCAAATTCCTTTAAAACGCTACTCCTCCTACAGTTTTAGTCTGATTTCAATATAACTTGGCACACAAGTAGACTACACTAAGATACATAATTCAGTGCATCGGTTTTTGAATATTATGAATGGTGTTGCCATGGTTACTAAAAATAGAAATTTCTGTCAAATTCCTTTAAAACGCTACTCCTCCTACAGTTTTAGTCTGATTTCAATATAACTTGGCACACAAGTAGACTACACTAAGATACATAATTTAGTGCATCGGTTTTTGATTTTGATGAAGGGTGTTGCCATGGTTACTAAAAATAGAAATTTCTGTGAAATTCCTTTAAAACGCTACTCCTCCTACAGTTTTGGTCTGATTTCAATATAACTTGGCACACAAGTAGACTAAGCTAAGATACATAATTTAGTGCATCGGTTTTTGATTTTGATGAAGGGTGTTGCCATGGTTACTAAAAATAGAAATTTCTGTAAAATTCCTTTAAAACACTACTCCTTCAACAGTTTTAGTCTGATTTCAATATAACTTGGCACACAAGTAGACTACTCTAAGATACATAATTTAGTGCATCGGTTTTTGATTTTGATGAAGGGTGTTGCCATGGTTACTAAAAATAGAAATTTCTGTGAAACTCCTCCAGCAGTTTTCTTCTGATTTTAATATAACTTGGCATAGAAGTAGATTACATTAAGATACATCATTCTATTTATTGTTGCATGTTGCAAAGTTTCAAATCCAAGTGCTACTTTTCCTTTGTTATACGTACAGACCAGTAGAGCTACAGTCTCATCAGAGACTTCTGGTTTTCTCTCTGAGATATGTGACATGAGTATGATCTCTAAATGACAGTCTCACAGAAAATTGCAGAAACTAATATTCGGTAAAGGCTGAACATTGACATAGACTAGAGATAATAACTCAAAATGTCAACAACAAATGTCTTGGTGTGAACTAAGCAGTCTTATTAACTTTTCCAAAGCCAAATCACGATGTCTTCTAATTAAATTTAGTAATCTAAGATGGACACCTCCTATAAAACTGTCATTGTGAAATATGTCCTTGTTTGATAAATATATGATTTGATGAAAATGCTTTTATCTTGTTTTCCAGGTGCATGGAAAAAGATTTGTGTACAAATTTGTGTGTGACTTGAAAATGTTATTAGGATACTCAGCGGGTGAGCTTAACAGACTCGTTACTCTGTGTGCAGAGAGAAAACTTCAGAGAGTGCGAGAATCACTGCGTCCTGGGGTCACAAAGAGGTTAGATCATCATAAGCCGACCATCCTTACAACGACACAAGTGGTACAAACAATGGAATAGACTTTGCCATTCAAGTCCTCTGTGATTCCTTGTTTTTCTCCGTCAGGGTTGACAAACTATATATATATGCAACCTAATCAAATCATATGTTGAATTTTAAAAGTTTAAGTATTTTTCAGTTGTGCACAAGTACCAAATACATTTTTTTTAACATATGGAAAGTGCCTACCCTCTGCTTTATTCATTTAAGTTTCTCTTTTTGTATACTTTAATTTGTATGAGCACATTCATTGCATATTTTCTTCTTATTTTAGGCTAAATAAAATTGTTATTATGGTTTTCAGGCCAATGTTCTTAAAAACAGATGGCGGGAAGCATTTCTTTTTTTTTATTGGCCATAATTTAGATGCGGGAGGCATTTTTTATTTAAGAAATTTCAATAAAATCCTTCCTTCATATTTATACTGGAGTTATTCTGTAGATATATATAACCTTTTACAAAATTACCAAATATATTCAAAGTGTCTTTTTCAAATGTCTTTCAATATCCATTATTATATGAATTGGCTAACAGAAACAAACATTTTGGTCACGCAATACTACAAGAAAATGAGGGCAGAATCTTTTTTTCTGGACTGGTATCCACATTACCAACTTTTTGTTGTATGGAAAATATGACAAAAATTGCAATGTGGCTATTTCAAAATGGATGTGCACAGGTCTGAGAACCATAATTTCATGTAGCCTTAACAATTTACAGACATTTTCAAATATCTTTTGATATGATGGATATATCTGTAAAAAGTGGAAAATACAAGAGGACATTTTGTTTTATCCTGATGCTTTGCATTGAATAATTTCAGACTTACTTGCTCAACATGACTAAGTTATGTTTGTCTTTTTAACTTGTTAAATAGTGCATTTTATTGTACATATTCATTTTATGATAACATCTATATTTTCTTTGGTTCTACATATGTACATCCTACTGTCATTGTGGTATACAATATTTATGATTTATACACTACATGTATGGATCTGTGTGGGGTACAGAGGCTGTTCTGTGTGTGTCAGTCTATTGTCTGTGATGTATCATCACATTCAGTATTTATACTCTTGATTGACCTAAGTCTAGGTTTCATTCAGTGCCCACTGATTTATCTTGTCAAATGATTCCCATCATTCCAATTTTTTACTGTGATTATGCCATTGTCCATAACTACAGATCATGCTTTTTTGTGAACATTCTGATGCGTTAAATTCAGCATTTTATACATCATAATAAGCATATGAATAACAAGGAAAAAGATGGTGCTGCACTGCATTTTATTTTTTGACCACCTTTAACTTATGATGTATTATGATTTAAATTTAAAACAAGTACCAATTGATTATTTAAATTATTGAAGAAATAATTTTTTTTTTGAAATGTTCTTTCGCTTTTTTTTAAATTTTCTTTTGCAGAAAATCTTTGATTTGTAAATCTACCTCAAGTTCTTATTTTTAGGGTGAAACACTTAAGTTATTACAGAATATTGAAAATATTTTTTTTTTCATTGTGAAGTATTTATGTCCATCGAGTGGTTAATAATATCAAACTAAATGTTTTATTTTATGTTTTATTTTTGGTTAAAGACCTGAATCATTCAACTTACACGTGTTTCATCTGAAAGTTAAATTTTATCATAAGCTTTGTCTGGTTCTTGGGATAATTTTTATTTTTTAATGCCATGACACCCAATATCAATAGTTATTAAGGAAGTTTAGGGCTTACTAGATATCTCTGTTAACAAATATGTCCTATTGTGACAAAGTATTCAACTAGGTTATAATTATATTCAGTTTCATATACTGAAAACCTTTGAAAATTTCTAGTCAATTTTCCCGTAAAGAATTTTTGAATTCTTTTTTTTTTTTTCCCCAATTGATTTTCCTGTTGGCTGGTATGGTAGTTACATCCTAGATTAACATTAAAATTATGAAAAGTATATAATAATGGGCAATCACAGTCATTTAAATTAAAATGTTCAGTATTTGGTATATGTGTGTGTCAAAGGGAGAAGATTAAAGATATCCTTTCCCCAATAAAGTTATGTATGTAAATAGTATATTTATGTACAAAGAATCAACAATGTATTCTCTGTAATGTGAATTAGTACTTTTTACACTTTGCAGTTGTAAATAGAAACCTTAGAAAAAAAAAAACAATAAAGAAAACGGTAATATCAGTAACCTTTGTTTTATTTTGATATTTTTGCTAGTTTCTCGTTGAATGAAATGCAATTCATATTTCATCAAATGAAGGCCAGGATAGAAAAAGAAAGACCAAATTTTATACAGAATTTGTCTCTTTGTAAATGTCCACTGCATTAATACATGTAGCTCCCAGCCATGGATCCTTGACTGTAGGGGTCAATGACTCCCTGGTTGTAGTATCCACTGGATCCAGATGGATATGAGATGCTGGATATAGCACCACTTAATCCAACTCCTCCAGAAGGAGCATATCCAACATTGGACCAACTAGATCCTACTGATGGTATGTATCCAGAGCTGGAATAGCCAAAGCTGGAGATACCCTGGTTATATCCTACAGGATATCCAGAGGATACGCCACCATAGCTGTATCCAGAATCATAGTATGAGGGAGCACTCCACATACTATCTGAAAAGGTAAGGTAGCTCTAAACTCTGTCAAGTATATACTACAAAAGATTTTTACTAAATGCATCTGAAATATTGAATTACAGGGTAGTAATAATTACAGCATACTTACAATGTCCTCCCATTCCATATTTCTTTCCATATCCTTGGTGTCGGACCGGGCGCCACTTTCCGTATCCCCCAGCCTGACAGAGGGCTACACAGACACAGACCAACAGGAAGACAAGATTCAATCGCAGCATCTGTAGGTAAAGTTTTAACAATAATTAAATTGCTGCAGTAAAACTTCTTAAGGTCAAGATCCAGTGAATGAAAGGTGCCCACAGATTTCTCAAATTTTAGATACACATTCTTTTAATGATCCTTTACGAATACAGCTTGGTAAAATAAGGTGTATCCGGACATAATTTTGGGGTAAACTCATCGGAAAAACATATTATAAACTGTCCATTTTCAATGAAAAATGAAGAAAGTCTGGTATAAATATGGGAGTTTTTTCCATCTCAGACAAAGGAAATGTATCAATATTGCTTACAGTCTCTCAGAAAACGGGTTTTCATATCTTCTTGATTTCTACTTTAAAATGATATTAAACGGAATAAGGGTATTGGGGTTACATTTGACATGATTTCAAATTGAATTCCATGAAAGTGCTTTATTTTCTACATAATTCTACTGAAGCCGTGAAGTACGGGAAAAATTAAGTTTAAATCAATTATGACGTCATAATGAATCTAGCACCAAGAAGAAAGTCTAAATTTATTTACTAGGTCTTGACCTTAAGGTCCACCCTCTCAATTTGACAAATTTTTCTTGCCACAAAATATGTGCATTTCATTTTAGACATAGAAATGTAGCTCTTGGGAACAGAAAATTCGGACAGACATACCATTCTGTAATATGTGTCGGAATTTTACATCCCAAGAGGTACGTTTCTGCAGTGAACTCATATACAGTAAAACCTGTCTAAACGATACGCACGGGACACAATTTTTGGTCGGAATAGACAAGGGATTGACTGTCAGATTGCACAGTGAAAAGCCCGGTGAAGTGGGAACGAAAATAGAGGTCGGAATTGTACAGAAGAAATCGCATTCTCTTTGACTGTATGTTCAGATAGAAACCTTGGTATTGGGGTAAATGATAATTACAGTAAAGTGGATTGCAAATGTTTTACATTGAAAAGTTTTTACTGTATAAAGAATTCTAAAGTGATTCATTTGATCCATATTTAACTCACGTGTATTGAATTATAACCCACCAAATCAAACGTCTTTACCTTTAAACGAAGAAAAAAAATTGTAACCACCTACCGTAATCAAGCTTTTGAATGTTTCATGGGAAGGTAGGGGTTTCTTTTTATACACTACTGTATACGTAACAAAGGGTGCTGGACTTGGTTTGCATTTCCCTAACTATGGTGACCCTGCGATGACCCAGTAAATTATGTACTTTGTTTTGGTGTATTTCCCATGCAATGCCTAACAACTAGTAACAGTTAGATGTATTTCGTGGGTCAAGTCTTGTAATATGTACCTCGAAGATATATTTTTCAAAGAAATGCACTTCATGTGTGATAACACAGTTATTTCAGTTACTTATGTCCTAAAGACAGTTTTATGTAATTTACGGCTCTCTCTCTCAATAATTACAAAATCATTGGGTCAAGGAAAACTCTGTTTTTTATTTTATTTAATGAAATGCCAACGCATCTACGAAGTGTGACTACGTTTATTTCCTTCTTTTTACGTCCCACGGATATCTTAATACATCTTTTATATATTTTAAGAATGGCCTATTCAACTCTGTTCAAGGAAACTTAAAACTCGGTAAATCATAAAAATGTTTCATTCATTTAAAGTGTTATAGTTGGATCTCTGTTTTGAACATGAATGTAAAAAATAAAAAAAAAAATCCCTGGAGAAATGTATTGAATTGAGGAATTAAAGCATATCGATTTATTGAACAGTGTTGCTGTATCAATATTTTTGTTTAAAGTACTTGTATTCAATTCTCATAGTAAAACACCCCAGGATCATGAGAAAAAGAGTTTTGGCTGTTTGTTTTTCCCAATCCATGAACACCGAGTCGAGGACATGAATATCTCCTTCACACTGGTAGATTATTATTTATGTTTTTAAGTTTTGATATATATTTAGATTTTTACATAAACTAATTTGTTTGTTATGATTTATAATATTACGCTCAGGTGAATGATATGGTGACGCAACGGTCACGTGATCTCCAGGTAAACGAAATGACAGCTGATTGTGCATTATAGTTCATGATCGCTATATTGTCAACATGTGGATTGTTGAATGAAGATTATCTGAATCGCTGTCGTGTAATTTACTTCTCTGTTGGATTTTTAAATTTAAATTTTGATAGATGACATGGAAAAAGAATACAGGTAGGAATCAGTTTCCAAACGCAGCAATGCCAGGTGTGAGACCAAACAGCCTACTGAACAAAATACCAATATTCAGTTCGGAGTCTGGCTTCCAAGATAAAAATAACAATACAGATGGAATGAAAACCGAAGTGAGACCGGAAAACGAAGTGAAATTACGGAATGGCCACGCCCGTGCTTCAGACGGGGTGCCGAGACGGTGTGAGTCGGAGCCTGCAATGAACTGGGGGGACTATGAGAAAAAATACAATAAGATAGGGAAAAATGGATATAGCAGGAAAGAACTGGCACAGCAATTACGATATATGTCTGTTAATGAATCTAACTCACAAAATACAGAAACAGTAAGCAATGGACAGTGTGAGGCTAGTGTAGTGAGAACTGATACATATGCTGGCAGGAGGGACGTTTCAGACCCCAGTTCTGTGCAGGAAAAACAAATTGTCAGCTCCCGGGGGACAGTCCGGGGGTTCAAAAACCGAGTCCGAGCCGGAATTGCCACGTTTTTACAGCAACAAACAGGGGAGACCTTGGTAAGTTCTTCAAGCAGAAAATGGCATAAATTAAAAGGACAGACTTAGACAAAAGGTATAAACACGTCTTGTTTTAATTAAAATGCTTCGTTACGTGTTAATAGGAGCACATTTATTGTTTGAGGTAATCAGAATATAATAGAGTAATTAATTATAATTGTGTTGCGTCATGTCATTAAATGAGAACATTTAAGACCTGTGTTGTCGCGACGTGTTAGAAATTTAACAGGTAACATTAATGACATGATGTTTTAGTTAATTGAAGAACTTTATTCTTGAGTAATAATGCCAATATATATGTGTGTCCACGGAATATTGAATTTTACAGGGGTCGAACCTGTGTATGTAATTAACTCAGATTGGGTTCTAATTGCCTTAGTATTGATTTCCTTGTATAGGTACTTTATAAATCAATATAACACTGTAGATGTGTATTATTTTTTGCACACCCAGTAAGGTAAGGGTGTCATCGATGGAACACTATAAAGAACGACTTTGCTATGAATTTCGGATCGAAATCTTCTATTAAGTTACAGTCGAAGAAATTTTACCCGATAAAGTAGAATTCGAAAGTTCATCGTTTTTTTTTTCATTGTCGAAACTGACAGTTTTACCCCATTTCGCATTTTAAAGAATAGGAGAAAAAACACCAGTGCAATATATAAATGCATTCTCCCATTAAATTTAGTTTCACTAATACAAAATGAATCATGGACCATTTTTAAATATAGAAAATGATCTTGGGTGGATATGTCGAAGAAGGAAATAGAATACGTAGTCAAACAAAAGGATTTTTTGTCTGGTGATTTTTTTTTTAGGTTACCTAGTTGTGAAAAGAATACCTTAGTCTTCATTTTTGAAATACCAAATACATGTGTATCGTGCAGTCAAATAACACTACACCTGACCATGCAGGGAATATATAAACGATGAAACTCAACACACTTCAGTTTCTCAAGTATATGTCGAGATTTTTCAGTGATATATGGCAGGGAATTTTAAGTCAACTAACCGTAATATCTTGATATCGGCGAGCTTCCTAATAAAGCAAAAGACCTAACGCAACCATAAACATTTTGATCAAAGAATTTTATTTGGATTGAATTCTTGTCCGCATAGTTTGACACCTGAGAGATCTTTATTAAGTTTTCCTTGTGTCGATTTTCGCTGCATTTTTCTGGAATTCCATAAGAAAAAAAATGAATACAAAGTATTTGCAAGGAAATGTTAATCTTTCTATTACAAGCATAAAACATGACAGACATTTCTCTCTCTCTTTCTCTCTCTCTCTCGTACAGTTTACTAGTTGAGGAATACCTTCAGATTAAAAGTTTACTTAAATATATAGCTTTTTATGTCGTTGTATAAAAAAAGCTTTAAAAGGGTTTATTAGGTGTCGCCACCAGAAAAGTCAAACAAACATCATCTTGCTCCGGAGGATATAATACGTTCGTGTACTGAGGGGTCACATAGTTTGTAGGGGTGTTGGAATGCACGTCCTTTATATAAGAGACGGTTTGTTATTTTGTAAAGGTGTACGTGGACATAATAAAAAGATACGTCCCCCATTTATCCGGTATATTCACGATTATCTTGTTATCTTTTGACATTTTATCTAAGGGTTAAATTGGCATACACTGCTATCTTTTAGAATTTCTGGCCCCTTGTCCATGTTAACTCTAAATACTGGAAAAGAATTGATATCGACAGAGTAATCAAACCTAGTTTTATAAAAGCTTCACAGAATCATTTTAAAAATTTGGACGGATAATAAAGCCATTAGGATTTTTCTTTTCAAGTTACGAGTAATGATTTGGTGTCTTCATTGACGTGTCTTTTTTCGTATATATTGATCATATAAAAGGATATTAAACGGAATTTATCAAAATATTTAGATCAATGTGCACAGTCGTCTACAGAACCAAATTTAGATGTTTATTTTAAAACAAGTTAAGAATACCAGTGTTAACAAATTTAAATAATGTATAAATGGTCATAGTGATCTAACGGTTACTCTTGTCGGCAAAATTAAACAATGAGTCGTTTGTTGTCGAATTAACTAAAGATGCACGATTGTGAAAACCCGTGAACTCCTAAATTATTACTATACAGCCTCCAAAGTCATAAAACTTAACTTTTTTTAACAGACGCTCACAAGAATATGTACAGATTCATGCTTTCTTTTTTACTGTTCTCACTGCGATTGATACTTACATTATTTTTGTGTAAGTACAATTTGATGAATTGTACTTTTTTTCTGTTATTTTTTTTTTTTTTTAAATATTTTGTTTAAATTTCGTCTTCAAATGTCAAAAGATTTTTTTTAACAACACAATAATTACGACTGATATCGTTGGGGAAATTCTTAATTCATGATTCATTGCCAATGTTAAATTTAGAGGTAAAGGTGTGTGTAATACTTCTGAGTATTTATCAAAATTTAAACATTTACATTCACGAATAAGAATTTAAGAAAAGAAACTTTTATACAATTTAACTATTTGTGCGAATAAGATTTATATCTTAATAAGGGTTTTATAATGAGTGACTGTTAGTAAAATACACTGTTTCTGCACGCAATCTTATGTTGAATTACAATGGTTGACGACTAGCTTCACACACGAGCAATGGTTGAGATGACATTTCAGTGGGCCAATTTTTTTTTCTTCAAATTTTAATTCTGCATAAATGCCGGCTTTATTTTTTTCTGTCGGTCAATATTAAGACCTCAGTTTATTAAAAAATAATGTCAAATCAATCCTACAGGAGGAGGACGAGTTACACACGGATCAGGTATGACAAGGATATGGATGTGTTTGATGTGTGTTTCTCGTGTCCTATCTTCTTTTCCTTAATGTGCCCAAATGTGGTTTGATCATTGGAATGTAAAACTATTACAAACTGGAGACTAAATGTTGACTTTATTTAATTAATGGTTTGTTGTTTTGTGTTGATTGTCGTGGCGTTTTGGTGGCGAGTGTACTGTTATATTTAATATATGTTTAAAAAAAGTTTAAACGTCTCTTTCTAAGTTTAAAATTGTCCATTCAAGGATTAAATTGCCATAACCCTAAAACTACTATTAAAGGAGACTCAAGCCTAAGAATTTTGACTCTTGTAGCGCAAATGCGATATTTGCACAAAAAATTCTTTTATGATTGATCGAATGTTAGAAGAAATACATGTAAATAAATGATTTTACAGATTCTTATACATCGATAATTAAAACGCACATTTCATACAAGACTCCCTACAGACATCTTATAAATTCACCTGAGACAATGCCTACTTTATTCATTTTTTGTATTGACTTTGCTTGTGATTGGTTGGTCCCAGGGAGAATGAATTAATATTGTCAGTGTGTGGCCGTTTGTTTTATTGTTTGCATTAACTGATTGCATGTGTACTGCATCCATTACCCTTGCAATAGTTTGTCCCTCGATTCCATTCTTGAACCTCTTCATTAAATATTGATGCTTCCTACATCATGACATAGATACATGAATTATTCACCGACTCGAGACCGCAAACTCTGCGTGCGAAATGGGCTCCTCTGGTTGCTATATCGTCCCATGATACTGTGAACCTGTGTACAAGTTCATCCTATTTTATCGTCCATCACTAAATCAAACTGAAGTACAATTATACAGAAGAAGTGATACAGAGATTTCTCCCACACAGCTGTTGCGGTTGAATAACTAAACGTTTGTCACGCTGGATGCAGATGAAAATGTCTACAACATTCAAATACAGTAGTTTGTTGTAATTGATCGATGGCTTTGTCATTACTTTACTGCATAAATATGAAACGTTTAGTGAAATGCTTTTTTCCCTTTGCAACATCAAATAAAAAATCACAAGGGAATATCATAAAACCTCTTAAATTAATACCGTCATTTATTCGTGATATGAAACACATATACGTGGTTTAAGATTTTTTTTCATTTGAAATAAAAATCTTCACCCAAGAAGACAAGCACATTGCAAACAAAGCTACAAGGTTCTGACAAGTTGACGTTTCACTTACAACTTAAGTCTGTTTGTTTGAGCAATTTACACCCAAAATGTCAACTTTGGTCTAACCCTTGAAATGAAAGAGTACACGTTTGCGTCTATGGGCTCATGTATAAACTAGAGAAATTTAAACTCAAATTAAGGACATCGTTCTTAAATTTACACTCTAATGTCTATTTTGACGTGTGGTCATTGTCTGTCATTTGTTTTTGTAAATGACTGCGGAGTTGTGGTACCTTTTAGCAAACTTATGAATCTTGTAAGATTATTTAATCAAGCATCAAGTTTCTGTTTAAGAATGTTCCGGGAAAAAAATATAAATATGATTTTTTTTTCAAAATGTGTTTTGGACTTTTGTGAATTACAATGTAGTTCTTGTCGCTGCTGCATTGCGCATTATAATGATACCGTAAAATCAAGCTAGGTATGTCACATGAGCCTTTTCCAAACCATTTGGTGGGTAACCAACCGAAACTGTTGACTGTAAGATTAGTTAATCATTAAAATATAAGCTACTTTTAAAATATGAGACAAATAATATTTTTTTTTCTTACATTTTCTTTATTTCTAGAGAAACTACAAACATCTTGAAAAAGGCAAGATCGTCGTTTTCACTACAAGTATGAACATTGTTAGATCTACACATGAACGGTGCAAAAAGGTTAAGAAAATGCTACAGACACACATGGTCCGATACGAAGAAAAAGATTTGTTCATGAGCAAAGAAAATCAAAAGGAGTTGATGGAGAGACTCAACACAAATCAAATAGTCCTACCGCAAGTATTCGCCGATGGAGCCTCTTTAGGGGTAAATACAAATTGTATTAAAAACTATGGTATTATCAAAGATTGGTATTTCTCAAAACATATTACGCAATATATAAAATTAGAATTAAATAAAAAAAGATGCGCATTATGAAGTGAAATCATACAAACTCAGATATCCTGGTGTCTATTTAAAATACTAACAATACCAGAATGTTTTATGCAATACCTTGTGATAAGCGAAATTGCCTAAACTTTTAAAAGTAGAGATGATTAAAACAAGGGTGAACCAAACATAACAACCACAAGCCATGCGCCTTTTACTGTCACTACCATTCTCCTATTTATTTTCTTGCAGACACTTGAAAACTTGGAAAAACTGAACGAGAGTGGAGAATTACGTCATATTCTTGCCAGCTTCACGGTAAGTACATACATACATGTATGCATACAGGCAATAAAAAGAAAACATATTATAGAGCACATAATCTGTCTTAGATTGTTTTATTTATGTCGTGCTATGAGATCATTGCTATGAGATCATCATAATTATGAACAAAATGAAAGATATTATATCATGATGAAATATGATAAATGTTTATGGAATAGGATTTTCTTTTCCTTCAAATAGCAATTAACTTCATATCTTAATTTTCTAGAAAATTGATGTTAAATCTTCGTGTGAAAAATGTGGTGGTTATCGATATATTCCATGTAACTTTTGCCATGGGAGCAAAAAGTCGCTCCGCCGGAATCATTTCACGGACGAATTCTGCTCACTTCGGTGCATGCAGTGTGACGAAAACGGACTCCTCCGGTGTGACCTTTGCCTGGAACAACAAGAATGACATCACATCCGGTCTAGAACCCACCGGTCTTCATTGAGCTCTTTTAATTCACACCTTATACGTCATCACTGGACTTCAAAGAAGAAAACATGTCATAATTTTTTTTGTTTTGTCAGAGTATTCATGCTTTTTCATTAACTATATATAGATTTTATGAAAGTGCTTTATTCAAAACAAAGAATACATTACATACGTTTTGTGTAATCCACTTGGCATGCATTTAGATGTTCAGGTAGTCACGCACGAGATCAGGCCAAAAGAATGTCATTGTCTTTTTATGCCCACATTTTACATATGGGGAGCTTTCTGAATCTAGACTTTGAAACACAATAAATATGTATATAAGAGTATAACGTGTGCTTCAAATTGCAGAAAGTGATTGCGTCATTGTCGATCGATGATTAAGTTTTTAGTTTTGTAATCTTTACTCAAAACTGATATTTAGTAATATTTGTTAAATCTTAAGTATTCTGCATTATCAGTTGTTTTTTTCATTTTCATTTTTCTTCCTTGCTACAGGGAGGTTGTCGTAATTTTGACCTGACGCAAATCAGACTTCAACGTTACCTTTCCCTGTAAACAAAATATACTTCTTGTGAAAAAAAAACTTATTTAATGTTTGTTATGCTAAAAGTAATGAAAATAAAATATACCGGTATTGAAATCTTTAACGAAAAACAAACAAATAAAAAAAAAAAACTGTGCATCTAAATTTTGTGAGAGATTACCGTAGATATTTCGATATGAGGTGATGTATGGGAATGCTTTAGCTATGAGCGGATTACCTGAAGGTCTATAGCTAACTGAACTAAGAAAAAAAATGGGATGGATGACCAAAAATGTTGATTTTGTTTCTCGGTACAATGAGCCGCGTCACATCTGCATTGAAACTGTATAAATGAGAGTTGAGTTTTTATTATTTATATGCTAAGGGAATATATTTTTGTTATTTTATAATTGTCTGAAATCGCAAACAAAGTAAATTGTAAAAATAACACATTCATTTGTAAATCACGTGTTAATGAATATGAAAATTCAGCACTTATTCATTCTTGGATTTTCTTAAACATTTTTTAATCTACAAACTACTTAATAATTCTCTGTTTGTGTGTTAATTATTTGTAAACTTAACTTTACAAATTCCCAATGTTTGATTGTTCTAGTCTCAAATCTGTGCAATGAATGATTATGTTTTGAACTGAAATAAATTGGTGAAATGTTCTAGGAATTTTAAACTTTGTTCTTTTGCATCTTTCTTATCAATGCTTTACTTTATTTTTTTTTACTCTATGCGGAGACAAATATAAAAATCAATGCTTTATTTTACTTTTAAATTCATTTTGCCCGTATGTTAATTGATGCAACATTCTCTTCTTATTTTTTTTAAATATGTTAACGTGAAGAATTACTTACACACTGGACAGACAAGAAATTGTCCTGGATTTTATCGGGACTGAAACTTCCTTGTTAAAAATCATTATAAATTGGCAGATTTTCAAGTACGTGCTTGAGATACCCCAAATAACTAAATCAATTCTTGCACCTACCTTTCGTAGAAAATGGATTTTTTTTTTATCAGACATGACAATTCTTTCTTTCCACAATGTGTTTGTACATGTAATCCCCTATTTAGTGTATGTGTGGGGAAGGTGTTACTTTTTCTATACAAAAAGGAAGTTGCCACTGCAAAGGGAGACAAAATGTTCAGCTTGAAGTCTTGGGAAGGAAAAAAAACTGCACTTGTTAAATTCTTCTTTAATCGATTCAAGAGCTGATATCTGATTTGCATTATTTAACAAGGAAATTTTTAAAGTCCCATTTGAAATGATAATCAAGGTTGAGGATATAGAACACACAATTAAATTTGGAATTCACAGAAAAAATGTGCGATATTCCTTGGATTTCAGTTGTTCAACACATACAAGTGTACATGCAAGGAAAATAATTCCCAAAGTGAGGAAAATAAAATGATTTTGGAGGAAGAGGGGGGGGGGGAGAGAAAATACAAATGTAGCGCATGGAGAACATTTGACATTATTAGAACTAAAAGATTTTTAAAAGGTCAGCATATCAGAAAAGGATCATTACATGTACTACATACAATTGAGACAATTGTCCAGTTTAAATCGATCAGGGTTTTTTTCCAGCAATGAATTAGTAAGAGAAAGAGATCGAGATCGAGATCATAAAAACATTTTATCCCCTTTAAGCTGATGACCTTTAAAAAAATCACTTCGTCGAAGGCAATCTCACCATTATTACATACTTTATACTAAGAATCCATGAATTGCACCTCTTGATCTTGCAATATAAAAAAACCTTCACGCAACAAAATTAAAATTCAAAATCTATCGTAATCATGATCATTTATTAACTGACAAAATCTTTAAAATATTGTCAGTTTTCTCTAGCTAAAAGATGTATTTTTTCATCTTTTACTCATTAGGTCAAGAAACAAATCATTAGTTTCTCAGCCCAAAATTTCAAGATTTAATGCGACAGAGATCTTTTGTAGGTGTTACCTCTTTTTTCACGTCGGTCAACAAAATGATGATGTCCACCGATTCTCCTTTTTTATACTCTTATAGTAATTTTTATATATACTGAACTTACAACAATGTTATTGCAAACATTTTTATATAAAGTTAGTTCCTAAAATACCGTTAAAAAAGTCTTTCTGTTAGCATGTATGTAAAGGGGCATAACTCAATTTCCTTTTTCAACTTGGAAAAATAAAAAATTGAGTTATTTCCCTTTTCCATGTCAATAACATTGATCAAAGCGGCAGCACTTGACCAGATGCCACGGTGCCTGAGACATTATAGATAATTTTTTTTTTAGCCTTACAGAGGAATTTTATTAGTCTCTGTATATGGGACAAGTATCAAGAACACTGTATCAGAGTTGAACTTGTCCACTAGACCACTACTGAATATGGGACCAAAACTCAAATTCTTCTGAAAATCAATGCTTCTGTAATATTCACAGGTATCCCCCACACCTGCATGTATCACTCACATCAGTACTGTGTAGTAATTGATAACAACTTCTGTTAAAACCAGTGAGCAAACACAAGTGAAACGCTATCAATGCATTATAGCTCTTTACTTATTTAAACATTTGTATATACATGTACATATAAACATACATAACTTGATAATGACAGCTTACACATCTTGTGTAGGTTATCATGACTATATCAGCTGTGAGTTGTTTAGTTTGTACAATGAAGGATATGTTGACCGGTAATATAAGAAAGATACATGTAACCTGGTACAAGGAACCTATTAGGGAAGTGATAAAAAAAAGGCAGTCAAAAATGGCTTGTTCATTTATCTTACGAGTAAACTAATAAAAAGCCAATTGGACCCTAAAGCTTTCAAAATGAGATCAAAATTACTTCACTATTTGTCCATCTAGGCAATGATAGAGCATTAGAATCTTGATTCATCAGCCATAATCTCCCTAAAATATGCTCTCTGATTAAAACAATTTCATATCTGTAGTATACCAGTGTGTGAAATACAAATCCACCCATATACTCTGGACAAGTAACTTTTTACTGTGGTTGAAAAACTTAAAATTCTTTTAACAATAAATGCAGGGTTATAATTTGGAAAGGTAGTTTTCACAAGAGTTGGACACTTAAGTATACCAATAAATATGAAAAACAACATTCCATGCTTCTGAACTAATATAAGTGACCCTTAAATATTTAAAAATAGAGGATCATAAAACAATCTCGAAGGGAGATAACTAAGAAGAAAGAATAATTAAAGCATGCAAGACAAGAAAGTTCTACATCATGAATAACCACTATATTTAATTTTGGCAAAAAATGAAATTTTGCAAAATATCTTGAGTACACTTTTTTTTCTTACAGTAATGATGTAATACTTTTTACAATTATACAGCATTTGATTTACAGTTAAGCACCAGGTTATTATTTTTACACATAAAAAATGCATTTTGAGTGTCTTGAAAGAGTGTATATGAAGAATATTTGACATAAAATCACACCAATTGATACAGTTACACCTACTACAAGATATGCTTGGTCACGATTATTGCACAAAATGTTTTATCTAATAAATGATATTTCAAGCATTGAAATACATTATGACTTGATTAAAATCTGTAACATTAAACTGAAACAAAGACATTCAAAACAATGAATGTTGTAGATGACAACTTATCACAAAATATTCACAACACGACATTGCACTTCATATACTAAACATGCAATAACACACAAAAAAGCAGGACTCATAAAATAGACGTTTCTTCACAACCAAATCATCACAATTTTTTAAAGACATTTTTAAAGACATTGTTCAACCATGTGAATAAAAATGTTTATTATTCACTAACATATGAAGTAAATAAATGAAGATAATAGTAGTCATCTCAAATGCCATAAATATTAATATTTTAAAAAATCTTTTAACTACATCTATGTTAAATGAGAATCATTCATTTTTTTTCATGAATTATTTTTCATTGTGACACTGAAAGCACACAATGACAGCTTTTAACAGACACAAATATCTGTTACAATTCCTTGCCTTTTACTTTTTAATTAGAGAAGGAGAAAAAATATATCACAGTAATTACAGGTAAACATCTAAGTTTATTTACACCAGAGGAATGCAATAGTTTGAGCTTAACAACAAAATAAAATTGAGTTAAAGTTCTGAGCATAATATTAAATTTAAATTAAAACTAAGAATTCTGTATATTTAAAGTTTTCCTCTTCACCTGAAACTAATACAAACACCTGCTTGAAAAATTTACTCCAAAATGTTAAAAAAGAAACATTATGAAGCATTTAGCACTAAATGTTGTTCCACAAATTGCAATGTATTTCATTATGTGTAAAAATTAAAAAAAACACAGTTGTTCAGAAATGAAGACCTTTACAGCATACGTCATTCAACATGAAATAATTTACTTTCATCCCTGTGAAAATTTTTCTCTCAAAAAATTATAAAAATAATTTTTGTTTCTGTTGCCAGGTAGAATTTCAACATTGTGCAAACCAGAAATGAAAACATTTTGCAAGCATTCTAAGCCTGACATTAATCAATATACCATGTCGTTTTATTTGAATACAGAAGGCACATGTTTTCACCATGCTTGGCCACCCGTTGAAGTGTTGGCACAGTGGACTAAACACAGAATCACCTGTTGTAATGACTCTATGTAGCCTGCATACTCTGAAAGTTCTTCACCATATCCAGAACATTGGAACTCTTACGAGCAGCCTTAGATTCCTCTGCACATGCTGGTTTTCCTCTCAGCTGAACAGGGGTCTGTTTCTTCTTAAAAAAAATACTTATTTTTTAAAATAACCAACCATACAACTGCATAATCTAAACTAAGACTTTGACTTAATGCATACTTTTAAGAAGAGTATCGGACTACAAAATGCTCATAAATTTGGTACAACTAGAAATATTGGAGACTTTACTGAGCAACTTGTATAAGAAAAAAGAACCAATAGAAAATAATGAGAATTTTCATGGAAAAACAAACAATCTATTCTCTTTTGGAGGTGGGCATAGTGAAAATCTGTTATTCTTACCGGTTCCTCCACCTTTTCTGGTACAGGGGTCTTTTTTTCAATAATTTCTATCTTGATATCTTTCTCCTTTAGAGAACCTTTCTTTTGTGATAAATTTGCTTTCCATGCTGGAACCGAGGCAGGTGATGAGCTAGAAGTGTTCTCAAACAAAGATTTCCTTTCTAGTGTGGAGGATCCCACTTCTTTAGGCTTCGTTTTAAGGGGAGGTTTCTGGGGGAGATCTTCTTTCTTTAAGTCTTGTGGTTTTGTGTTGCTTGGCTCCAACTGCTTTGTTTCCTTTTCCTTTGCTGAATTTACACTCACAGGTTTTAACTGTTCAAACTTTGCTTTATCTTGAGAATCTGACTTGACTACATTAGGAGTTCGTTCTTCTGGTTTAGGTTTGACCCAGCTGGGAGTGGTTGAGACATTATAATCAGATTTCAAAGATACAGGTCGTTTAGGTTCATCTTTTGGGGCAGTGGATTCAATATCAATTTTATTTTCAGCAGTTTTTACAGAGAGTCCAGAGGTAACACCTTTTGAAAACCTATTAAGTGAACTTCCGTTGTTCTCTTTGAAAGAATCTGTTTTACTTGCTAATTTTTTAACTGATTTTTCACCGACATCAAGAGACTGTGAATCCATAATTTCACGAGGTACAGTTTGGGATTTGGAGTCTAAAATTTCTCTTGAAACAGGCTGTTCTGGTAAGGTCCTACTCCTTGGTTGTCTCTTTAATCTGTATTCCTCCTTTGGAGAAGACAATTTTTGAGGCATTGTAGAAGTTTTAGACTTGGAAGCATTGTCTATATCCCTTGGCAAGAATTTGTTTGCTGTTGGTGAGAGTGGGTAAGATATGGGAGATAAATTATCATAATCTGGTTCAGGAGAAGATAACTCAGATTTCTCAGATTTAAAACCCCCCACAGGCACATTTTCATAATCAGAAGATGGGGAGGTTATACTTTTACTAAGATTTAAGTCCTGTAAGTTCTCATAGTCTGGTGATTTTGGGGATGTCACAGGTCTAAGTGGCTCTTTCTTCAGAACATAAGTTGTTTTCCCTGGTGCGTCTTTTGTGATTGGTGATTTAGTGGGTTTGCTCTCCACTTCCTTTGTTTCATCTGTTTTAACAGATGATCTGTGTGCTTTAGACTCTGTAACACTAGTGACACTAATCACCTCTTTGAGGGGTTCAATATTACTGGCCTTGGCTGGCATTTCAGGGGAGACAATCTCTTTCCTCAGTGACATCCTCTTGAATGCCTTTGACAACTCATTAGACTCATCCTTTGTGTCTCTGATAGGTTCTACATCCACAAGACTCTTAGGTCTGGGTTTTACACTCTTCAAACTTTCTACTTTCACTGGTTCATCCTTTTTCTCTATTATTTTTTCAGAGTCTCTTCTTAATATAGGGGTGTCTGACAAACGAGATTTTTCTTCGTTGCTGACTAAAATATCCTTTTCTGGCTGTGTTTTCTGTGGCTCACTTGGTCCCTCTGAAGACTTCCTATTTTTGACTATGTTACTCATTTCACTTTTGATTTCTTTGGGCACTGATTCCTCCACCTTTTGAGGCTCTATCAAATAAAGTTGTAAGAGTTATCTATCTTGCCACATATTGTACTAGCTTTAGATACATTCAGTGCTTACTAAGAGTTAAAAATTTGTTATTTTTCTCTATTTTTTTAAAGATATGAATTAAGAAGAAACCCAAAGGTTACCATGCTAATCTAAGTCACATCCACTTTTTGTCAAATGAAAATACAGTCAATTCTTGTTATTTCAATTGGTTTGGATGGGGAAAAAACTTCAAGATATCTGAGAGTTTGAGATATGGTGGGTAATAAACAGAACAAAAGTCAATGGGACTTCCAAATCACTGCATCATAATCATGTATTTGAGATATCAATTTCTGAGATACCAAAGTTCAACTGTAAGTCAAACTTCTATTGTGGCCTTAAACTTTTAGCACCTTTTAATCTATAGTAATATTGGAGTTTACAAATTGTAGCTTTTTCTTCGAAATGAAATTTAAAATATTCTGTGTTAAACTTTTCCCCTAACTTGGCTCAATCCTACCTCCAGGGCCTATAATAATATCATGTGTTGCATCAATGAAATGTTCTTTTCAAGTGTGCCCATATTCCTGCCAAATTCAAATCATAAGTTCTCTCATTCTTTGTATCTACATAAGAAGATGCTTACAAATACATGTACTATAAATTGAAGCTTTTTGTCTTTATATAGACTTCTAACAAATTTTGCTTCTACCTCCATATGCACAACTTTATTATTCCCCACCCAAGCTTAGGACAGGAGCATGATTTTATAGTACACAGGTGACTCTCTATCTTTCACATTAAAAAAAAAAATTGAGAAGCAGAGGGGTTTAAGAGACCAATAGGAGAGGAAATCTGGAATTTTTTAATCCAATCATTGTGGTTCTATCTTTATGTTCACTGTAAGTATTTGTTGAAAACATTCTGGCACATTTTGATTTTCATTGGTATTTTACTAGCAATTCAATAAAGATTGTATCTTGATTAAATAAGAAAAAAAAAATCTTTCAGCTTCAAAAGTTTTTTTTTCTATTTCATTATTATGCTCAGATGGTATTTAGCGCAAATAGCAAGCCCAGTCTCCCTTAGGTTTACTGGGTCCTTCCCCAGATTGCTCTGTATCACTATTCAGTTATTGAAACTGGAATTTTGTGCAATGATTACCATACTGTGATTTTGCAGAAATGGAATAAAGGTTCGTAATTCATGAGAAATTTCTAATCTGCTTCTAAATTAGTTTCTTAAAATCATCATTTTGCTAACTGTCAAGTCAAAATCAGTCGTAGATGGTTATCTGTTTATTTTCTTTAAATTGACCAATCAACCAATTATTTAATAAATCAACTCTTCGGAAAACACACAGGTGTCGTGTCACCTATTTAAACACCCTTTTAACACATCCACCCAGCAATTCATCATTATCCAGGAAATTCCTACAAGGTGAATTAATTACACACTTGATTGGCATGCATGCACAATCAACACTTTGAGAGATCAAGAGTAAAAAACAATGAAACAGGACCAAAGTCTTGGTTTGATCGATAGAGAACTTTGAGAGATTGGAAGTTTGAGAGATCAGGAGTAAATGTGCTGTTATAAAGAGGGAAAAAATGGGACTGGGGTTTTACTTCGAGAGATTAAGAACTTTGAGAGATTAGAGTTTGCACCAGTCAAAAGTCACCATTATGTGGATCTCTGTCTTGTAAGGAAGCATGTTTCCCCCTTAATTTTCGTTGTTTTTGGTGCAAGCTATTCTTTACAACATGATTTTTTAAACTACTCTTTTCATTTTTTTTCACTTTTTATGGACTTTCTCCCTTTGAAAGATTCAATGGCCCTTTATTTCATAACTTTAATGCCTCGTTACTAATGGGTGCTTTTGACACATTTGTTTGAATGACCCAATGACCCTGGAGAAAAATCAACAACATGAAAAGTTTATGGACATGCAGATGACAAATTTTTATCAGAAAAGCTCACTTGACTTGAGTAAGCTAAAAATTGACTTCAAGTACAGTTAATTAATCCTTCTGTATTATTGTGCTTACTTATGACTTGAATACTGGTTTTGTTGTCCTGTACAGTGATCAGTTCAGCTTGTTTAGTTGTTTCCTCTGTTACTCTGGGTAAAGGTGATGCTGTAGTTCTCTGTTCAAGAAAACAACTGAGATAAGTGTCCACTATTACATGTACTTATAACTTTACTGAAAACTCCTCAATATGAAGTTTAATTTTCTTTGGTGCAAATGCATGGATATCATTTTTAAATTGTTTTGTGTCCTTCAGAATACTGTAGATTCCTAAATGCGAGGGATTTATTATCACAAAATTTTGCGATAAGCATCACTAGCCAAATAATAATAAATATATAGTAAATTAAATGCACATCTCTGAATTATATGTACAATTGATCTGCAAATTTAAAAAGGTTCCTGTCTTGAAAACTGTAGGAGTAATTATCAGGAAAAGTGATGTACTGGTTCCATTTTGGCAGTTGCCCGCCATTTTCACCATTTCAATAACCAGGTTTTTGCCAATGGAAAATCGGTTAAAAATGAACCCTTTACTTAACAGTCCACTCGCAAATTAATGTTCGCAGGATCTGACATCTAAGAGTCCTATTGCAATATTAATTACTCAAGTAAAATAAGGAATCTACATCAATTCCACATGAATGACTATGCTCAGAACATAAATGTAGTTATCTAAACCCCAAAAAATGAACTTTAATAACTGTTTGTCATGTGTTGAAAAGACATGGGTGTCATGAATCACTGCAATTGATTTGATATATTTGCTGCTTAAATCAATGAAACAAATCAATACTTTGATTTTAAATGTAAATGTGATGTCATTTTAACAATTAAAGCTCAAATGTTTACTATTTCAATGTACTTACATCAGTTGCTCTCCTAGATTGCAAGGAACTCTTTCTAGACTTAGGTTTAATAGAGATCCTGTGTTTTGCTGCATCACTGGTCAAAGTTTGCGTATCTCTTTTTACAACTGTAAAATCTAAATCCATTTTGGCCACTGAAATAAAAAATCTCAGTCAATCATATCATGTAACTTCAAATAGTAGTCTACTGTGTACATGTATATCTTTCGTCAATTATCCAAAAATATGTCCTTGTTTTTTTCCTGACAATCTTGTGGTCAAGAACAATGTCTCTTGTTTACTAATTGTGACTTGTGTTTATACTCTAAAGGTCTATTTATATCTTTACATTAATGTATATGATGTACCATGTATATATAAACAGTGAACACTGTGTAATATGCAACCCGTTTCACTGTGAATCCAGACCCTGATTAAAATTCCTATTTTACTATTTTCTATGTTATTTACACAACATACTGTCTATAGTGGCACAAAATTTGGCAATATCTTGGCTTAATATTGTAATGTGCAATTGATTTTTGATTGTTACATTATTATCTATTTTGACAGCATGTTACATACATAAATTACAACCTGGGTGTCTTTAAGTGAATTGCCCATCACTGATAAAGCATTAATACTACATACTACAAAGAAATAATTTACTCTGAGCATAACCCAGAAGTTTAATTTTCTGAAGGTAACCTGTAATCTATATTTTGGAACTAAAATCTGGGGAAAATATGAAATTTCCATAATACTATAAGCTCTGGTAGAATGATACAGGTTCCCACCTAGAATAACAGAGGTATTTCCTATACTAACTATGAACAGAAGCTTTTCTTTCTTCATTCTAATAGAAGAATATCTTAATCTCAATGCCAGATTTTGCATGTAACAGGAAAGGAGAAACTTTATGGCTGGACCAGGAATGGAGCTCGGGATGCCTGCATTACTACACCAGTCAGGTTCTCTAACTACTGAGCTACACATGCCGATACCCTATATAGCCCAAACCACTACGATCCTCCCTCCTTAAATTGTCCTCACCCTCAAAGACAATTAACCCAGATTCTTTTGCCACTGACAGCTAGATTTTCACCTCCAAGTCCAGGGGTGGTAAACTACACCAAATGTATCAAGAAAGTAGAAAATTTATAGTTCCACTTTGAATCGAACTCAAGACCCGTGTATTAATAGTGAGGTGCTCTAACCACTGAGCCATCCAGGGTGATATCAATGGTCCAGAAAGCCCAAACCACTTCATTCCCTTATCCTAGGAACATGGCACCAAATGAAACAGAAAAGAAGAAATGGCTGCACCAGGAATCAAACTTGGGGACACCTGCACAACCAGCTAAGTGCTCTAATGATTGAGCCACCAAGGCTGACATCCCCCCGTCAAACCAAACCAATACACTCAGAAAGAAGAAAACTAATACTCCTGGTAGGAATTACCTTCTGCTGTACTGTTGTCCTGTGGCTTCTTCACTGATGCTATAGAAGATTTCCAGTTTGAATCAAACAAATCCTCCTGCCAAATAATTTTTATTTTTTTATGAGTATATGACAAATTTTACACAATAAACACAAGCTTTGAATAAAAAAAGGAAGAAAAAACAAATTTAAAAACATTAACTTGTCAGCATATCAATCATAATAATCCAATAAATCTGTAGAAAGCTGATATATATTTAGAAATAAAGAACATGTATGACAAACACATCCAATTTATCTTTACGAGTTACACTACAAGGTACAGTGTACCAGTTTATTTTCCTCCAAGTGACTTACTTCTTCATTTTCCGATCCGTCCACGCTGAGGAGGCTCTTGTCACTTTCACGACTCGTAGATTTCCCCGTAGAGGACGACTGAAATTAACAAGAATCAGAATGAGAGTTTTGTCCTCATAAAGGCATCACTTCTCATACATATTTATCTAACATTGATAAAATATTGCATTTCTCATTTCAACATCATGAATGACAGGTCTGGGCTGTTAAAGCAACATAACGTTGGCTAGTCACATAATAAACCAACCATATACTCCTACCAGTGATCAACATAAAACACTCTTTGTGTTTATTTATATCCTCATGAATGTTGACGACATTTTCATATGCAGTATATACAAAGTCCTCCAGTAAAATAGTAAGAATTTTGTTGAGTTTGCTATTTAGATAACACAGTTCTGTTGGTTGCCAATATTGATTTTTGTTCTTCAGAGAATGGAAACTGATACAAATGTTAAGTTTCTGTGAAACACAGATAAGTTGATAATGAACAATTAGTGTCCCCAAAGAGACCTGTCCACCAATGCTTTATTGCTGCAGTATATTTTGTCATTCCATTCCCTCCTCTAAATTTTTAGCCCAACAACAGAAACAATCTACTCATTAAGTTCAAAATATTCCAAACTATCCACTTAATTTATTTTCCATGCAGTTTTCATTGAGCAAGCAGGTCATGTTAGCTTGAAATCATTAGCAAAGTTGGTGTTCACTTATGGTCACAAGTACTTCAAATTTCATCAGGACAAGCCATGCATACGTACATGACTATATATATATATATATATATATATATATATATATATATATATATATATATATATATATATATATATATATATATATATATGTATATAATATATATATATATCCTTTGAAACCTATGCTATCATTTACTATAAAAGTTGAATTCTCTCAATCAAGCAGTTTATAAAGTTGAGTGAATTTTAAAACTGCTAAACTCTGTAGCATATTATTCTTTTAATTGCATGTAATACATTTATCTTAGGAAAAAAAGTGTGCAAATAATGCACATACATAGAGATACAATGTAAACCAACTTTTACTTGCGTGCGAGAAATATCCTCGAGTTTTGCGACCTACTTTTACTCGCGAATATTAATTGCTGTGAATCATTTATTTTGCTTTGTATTTAGAGAGAATGCTTCCTCAGTCACGAAAATTAATAATCGTGGATTGATTTCAAACTGACAAATCGGGAATAAAAGATGACGCGAAAAATAGTTTGTTTACAGTACATGTATTCTCTTTAGAGATTGGACAGCAGGCTTTTAACCTATATGTAGGCAATAAAGCCTGTCAAGTTCTCTAAAGAGAATAACAGAAAACTTTACATGCAATTGTCTACCGTAATGACACATGAACAAACCAGACATAACCCATAAATGCAGTCCTCTCCTACTGTATATGACCATTTATGCTCCAATTCACATCATATTGTACAAATGATCTATTTATACTGCCTAAACAGTATCAAACTCTAATTCTTACACTTCTCTGAATGTCAAACTGTCTGAATCCTGAAATTTCATCATAATGTATCACATTTATTATTTCACGAGCTGAATTTACCACGTATTGCTAATCTTAAAATAATTATTCAAAATTTGATTACCTTAAACTGAATATTTGAAATACCTCATCAACAAGGGGCCTATGAGCAAGTAACAACTGATAACTGAAGGGAAATTGGTTGACCTTAATGTGAAATGAATATAACAGATATAACTGTTAATTTCGTGTGTATCTGTCAATGGTATATATATCCAATAGATTATGGTGATTAATATCCCTCTGGCCAGGTAAAGTCACCTGACAGTTCAAACCAGGATGACCTTATTTACACTCCTAATCCAATACCTTAAACAAATAACTCAAATCCAATGTAATCTCCTGTAAAAATGTACATTTAGTACTCAAGGTGTTTAATCATGTTTATACTTGCTTGTACAAAAATTAACAACACACAAATAATGGCTATGAATACTAAAATCAGACTACAAATTGTCTGAAAGTCAGATCATGGGGTTAATGCTCTCTTCTTTCTTACTCAGTAACTGCAAGCCAAACGTTCAATTCGGTGGCTATCCGATTCTGATAAATCGAGTCTTTAGGAAAATGTGATGTTGCCTAGGTGGGAAAGACCTGTAACTGGTCATCCATAAACAAACCTTTCTCTAGTTAAAGAGGCTGGAGGATCAACAAATTATCCAAAGGATCCACTTTAAAATATGAAACAATTGATTCATTTAGCCATAAACTTTTACGTATTAATAGACCCCCCCTCCCAATACACACACACACACACATTTAATGCAATTCCCTATATTTTAAGATAGATTTCTTCTTTTCCAGGAGTTTTAAATCATCTGAAAATGGCCATGACCAACAAGCCCTCTAATGACTATAGTAAAAGGGGCCTTAAATCTTAAATTTCACACTGTTTAAGTGATAATGCAATTATAATAGTTTATAATATTGGAATAACTTCTCATATTTAAAAATACAATTTACAGAACTTTGCACTTTTCTACAACTTTTTATATAAACATCCATTTGAACAAACCTAATTAAAGTACACCTGGTAGTAATTATGTTATCTGCCTTATAAGGACAGAATTTGGTGTTGCCAAGGTTTCCAGGAATGGTTCTCTTCACCAATATTACCACCATGTTTACATGATGTAACAACATTTAGACAAATGGTGATAGCCTGTTTACACATCTAGCTTGTTCTTTGGATCATTATCTTGTTTCTTAAGCCAACATACTGTGTACTTCCCTTTAGGGAACATATATCCACTGAACCTAATTATTTGACATCTATATGAAAATTGAAGCTTGGCAATATCCTTTAGAGCAAAAATATTCATAATACTTGGTAATAATGCTTACATTCATGATTGTATCAAAACACATTCAACAAGAATCCCCAAAACTTGCAGATTATAGTAATGAATTGATATGAAAGTTCTGTTTTCTTTGCTTAAAAAATGGGCAGTTTGCATTCAAGGTCATTCCCTGTTAACTTTATATTAAAAGAGATCATAAATAAAACTAAAATTTATTTAAGAATTCAAGATTTGCATGCATCTTTTCAAATAATTCCTATTCAATAAAAATCTTATAAGACCTTCTTTTCTGCTTAATTCTATCTTCACAGTTAAATCAGAGACATATAGACCATATATAATATGGTATAAAAAGAACAAAATGAAGTTATACAAAGAAAGGAATAGTGAATAACTTACAAACCATGAGATGTTAATGTTATTCATTATTACCAGATTTTTTCACCACTTTGTTAACAAGACATCTATACGAGAGACACACAAAGGACCTGATCTTATATATAAGGAATATGACATCACAAAAGAATGTGTAAACACCATTTACAGAAGAAACTGTACCTTTATCCTCTAAATCGTCACAGAGTTCACGATATTGATTTGTTTTCTTTGTGCAATATGATTCTTCCATAAAAACTATCACAGAAAATTCTGACCATTCATCATGAGTATATAAATATACACAAAGAAAGTTTACATCAGACTCCCTTTGTAGTCTATAAAAGATAATTTTGAAGTTCTATAGCACTTTTCTGCCTTAAATTATGCCTATATATCACTGAAATACCCACAAAATAATTTATAATACTTTCTTTATGACTAAAACAATCAGAGATAGATAATTTTGAAGAGATTATTCGAATTGTTTATGCACAAAGAAGAAGTTTTTTTTTTTTTTTTTTACCTGCATTACTCCATTTTTTAATGAGTATATTAAATAATATTGTGCATTAACTGTAAAAAAAAAAATACATGTATTCAAAATAATAGTAAAACTTACACTGTGTTAAACCAGAGTTGATAATCTTACATCCAGTTATCACCAGGGTGTTGTGATTGTCCTACTAAGTCTAATACAGTTTCATTGAAAGTACTATTCGATCAAATGCCAATCTAGATATATTTGTTACCTATGTATACCTATGGTACCTATCCTCCTGTGCTTACCTGAGACTGGCCCTCCAGGTGTATAATCAACAGGTAGAGGTCACTGACATTGACACTGATTTTGAATAGATTAAACTTAAATCTCTTTGTTTTGAAACTTACAGAAACTAATGTAGATTATTTCAAAATATTTGAATGTTCAACTGTGACATTTCAATAACTATATAAACACTTTATATATAACCCAAGGGGATCAAAATTCCAAAACATTTATCAACCATCCAATGCTCCTGGAGACTTTATGTAGAAATCATGGACTACATGTTCATATCAAAAGTGAGAAAAAAATTCCAATGCACAAGAAAGTGTTTTTGCCTTATGTTTTACATACTAGGCTGTGCAGAATAAGGATATTTTTTTAAGGCATATATGATATCCTACTCCCTCAGGTTCATTACATGAATATATACAAGTACATTTTTCAGATGTGCATTACATGTTTCTGTATATGTATTATTTGTTACAATTAAAATCTACCTGCCGCGGTATATAAATGTAAGCTCATAAGATTTTGGATGTGGTATTCGAATAATGTGCCTTTCATGTCAGAATCACCTATAATCAGAAAACCAGGTCAACTGAATCAAGTTAATATTGACAGAGAGAAGATTTTTGTACAATATGGCCCTCCATGTATATGACTAATAGAAGACGAGATGAATATTAATTAGCAGTGAAAATATGCTGAGCTTACATGTGTAAACTTGAGGCAGTACAGCAGAATATAAAACACACACAAAGAAAGAGGGCTTCAAAATGAAAGTTTTTGGATTTTGATTGCTAAATTCTTATAAGAAGATAACCAAATCAGCCATTAGCTCTAACACATAAGTTCCCCTGCCAATATTGCATTGACTTAATTAATGTTTCCTGTGATGGACAAGGAATAAGATCTGGGGGATGGAATATGTTCCTCTGTTGTGGACAAGTAAACAGCTTTATCACACAGACCTCGTGTCACCTTTACTCAATTAACCTGCACTGCAGCGTTTTACTTTTTGGGAGCTAACATAAAGATGGAGAGGAAATTCTTTGGGAAATTGA